CTGGCGGGTGCGACCCCCCTGGCGCGGACCCCCCTGCGCAACCCCCCTGGCGGGCTGGCGGGTGACCCCCTGGCTCTGGCGGGTGCAACCCCCCTGGCGGGCGCAACCCCCCTGGCGGGCGCAACCCCCCTGGCGGGTGCAACCCCCCTGGCTCCCCTGGCGGGCGCTGGCGCCCCCTTGGCGCAACCCCCTGGCGGGCGCAACCCCCCTGGCGGGCGCAACCCCCCTGGCGGGCGCAACCCCCCTGGCGGGTGCAACCCCCCTGGCGCCTGGCGCAACCCCCCTGGCGGGTGCAACCCCCCTGGCGGGTGCAACCCCCCTGGCGGGCGCAACCCCCCTGGCGGGTGCAACCCCCCTGGCGGGTGCAACCCCCCTGGCGGGCGCAACCCCCCTGGCGGGCGCAACCCCCCTGGCGGGCGCAACAACCCCCTGGCGGGTGCAACCCCCCTGGCGGGTGCAACCCCCCTGGCGGGCGCAACCCCCTGGCTGCAACCCCCCTGGCGGGGCAACCCCCCCTGGCGGGGTGCAACCCCCCTGGCGGGTGCAACCCCCTGGCGGGCGCAACCCCCCTGGCGGGCGCAACCCCCCTGGGGTGCAACCCCCCGGGCGCAACCCCCCTGGCGGGCGCAACCCCCTGGCGGGCGCGACCCCCCTGGCGGGCGCAAACCCCCCTGGCGGGTGCAACCCCCCTGGCGGGTGCAACCTCCTTGGCGGGTGCAACCCCCCTGGCGGGTGCAACCCCCCTGGCGGGCGCAACCCCCCTGGCGGGCGCAACCCCCCTGGCGGGTGCAACCCCCCTGGCGGGCGCAACCCCCCTGGCGGGTGCAACCCCCCTGGCGGGTGCAACCCCCCTGGCGGGTGCAACCCAACCCCCCTGGCGGGTGCACCCCCCTGGCGGGTGCAACCCCCCTGGCGGGCGCAACCCCCCTGGCGGGTGCAACCCCCCTGGCGGGTGCAACCCCCCTGGCGGGCGCAACCCCCCTGGCGGGTGCATCCCCCCTGACGGGTGCAATCCCATTGGCGGGCGCAACCCCGCTGGCGGGCGCGACCCCCCTGGCGGGCGCAACCCCCCTGGCGGGTGCAACCCCCCTGACGGGCTGCGACCCCCCTGGCGGGCGCGACCCCCCTGGCGGGCGCGACCCCCCTGGCGGGTGCAACCTGCCTGGCGGGTGCAACCCCCCTGACGGGTGCAATCCCATTGGCGGGCACAACCCCGCTGGCGGGCGCGACCCCCCTGGCGAGCGCAACCCCCCTGGCGGGTGCAACCCCCTCCTGGCGGGTGCAACCCCCCTGGCGGGCGCCCCCTGGCGGGTGCAACAACCCCCTGGCGGGTGCCCCCTGGCGGGTGCCCCCCTGGCGGGCGCAACCCCCCTGGCGGGTGCAACCCCCCTGGCGGGGCGGCGCACCCCCCTGGCGGGCGCAACCCCCCTGGCGGGGTGCCCCCCTGCAACCCCCTGGCTGGCGACCCCCCTGGCGCAACCCCCCTGGCGGGTGCAACCCCCCTGGCGGGTGCAACCCCCCTGGCGGGCGCGACCCCCCTGGCGAGCTGCAACCCCCCTGGCGGGCTGGCGGGTGCAACACCCCTGGCGGGTGCAACCCCCCTGGCGGGCGCAACCCCGCTGGCGGGTGCAACTCCCCTGGCGGGCGCGATCCCCCGGGTGCAACCCCCCTGGCGGGTGCAACCCCCCTGGCGGGCGCAACCCCGCTGGCGGGTGCAACCCCCCTGGCGGGTGCAACCCCCCTGGCGGGCGCGACCCTCCTGGCGGGCGCGACCCCCCTGGCGGGCTGCGACCCCCCTGGCGGGTGCAACCCCCCTGGCGGGCTGCGACCCCCCTGGCGGGCGCAACCCCCCTGGCGGGTGCAACCCCCCTGGCGGGCTGCGACCCCCCTGGCGGGTGCGACCCCCCTGGCGGGCGCGACCCCCCTCGCGGGCGCGACCCCCCTCGGGGCTGCGACCCCCCTCGGGGCTGCGACCCCCCTCGAGGCTGCGACCCCCGTCGGGGCACGTCGCTGGAGGGCCTCGCGCCTCCACGCCTCCACGTTTCTCCTCCTCCTCCTCCTCCTCGTCGTCCTCCTCCTCCCTCCTCCGCCTCCGCCTCCGCCTCCTCCTCCTCCTCCTCCTCCACCTCCTCCTCCTCCCTCCCTTTTTTTCAAACTGGATCGTCGCTTACGCAGACGGGGCGCCCAATGTCGCACCTGACCAGTCGGGCCGAACCGAACCGGAGCGGCCACTCGAACCGAACCGAACCGGTCGGACCCAACCGCGCGAAAACCGGAACCGAACCGAACCGGCGGCAGGCCCAAGCCGAACCGGCCGAAACCGGACCGATGCCAAACCGAACCGGCCAAGCAAAACCGACCCGGCTGCAGAACCGGACCGAACCGAACCGAGCCGATCCCTTCATGCATGAAAGCCCCAACCTGGTTATGCAACGTCTGCTCGCCATCGGCCGCCTGGATCGTGAACGTCGCCAGCTCGTGCCGTTGGTGGAAGAAGGTCTGGTCCTGCGGCAAGACGGCGTCACACACCGTCTCCCGCAGCTCGCTGAAGGGCGTGCAGCCGAAATCGTTCGACATGTCCTCCTTCGACGTGATCGTGGAGATGCCCCTGGCCCGCAGGCGAGCCAGCAGCGCCTCCTGGCAGATGATGGCCCCCTCGCGGTTCCTGCCTGGCAAGTAGCCGTGCTCGCGATCGGGCTCAGAGTCAGCAGCTCCGCGACGAAGGAGGGCCTTGTACCACATCACGCCCATGCGGCACAAGCCGTGAATATACCGCCTAGCATTGAAGCCTGCCTTGCCGTTGCACTTCGAGAGACCTGTGGCACGGGAATGATGCCAGACAATCGGAGTACGGCCAACTCGTCGAACATGATGACAAATCTTCTGGATAGCTTTCAGGGCCCCAGGGTTCTCAAAGGAAGGAGTGTCTGCACCCAGTCCGCGGCGGTCGCCAGCGAGTCGATGCCGCGGAGCGAAGTCGGCCCGCTGAGCAGAAACTCCCTCCTCGCCGCCGTCGTCGTCGCCCTCCCCGTCCTGCTTCTTTCGTGGCTTCCTGTGGGAACCGTCGAACCTGCGGTTGGGGTCGAGCGTGAGCATCAGCACCTCACGCGGCACGCTATGGGCTGGCGCCGACTTCCTGCGCGGCGCGCGCTCGAGCAGCTCCGTCACTTCCCTCAAGTCGCCCCTCCCCTCCTCCACGTGCGCAAAGTTATCCAGTCCCAGCGTCGGAGGTGGAGGAAGACGGGACAGCTGGTCCCTCTGGTAGGCGTCGAAGTCGACAGGCTCTGCTCGCAGACCGCCCTCGGGGCCAGGAAGAGAGAAATACTGCTGCACTTCGTCACGTCTCGGCACGAACTCCTCAGCAACGTTATACTTCCTGTGACGTGGGCCTCCGCACTTGCCTGCCAGTAAGTGTGCAAGCCTCCATACATCGGCGTGACGGCGCGCCTGCCAAGCCTCGCCGATCTCATGGACGAGCTCCTCCGTGGCCTCCTGTAGACGAGAGCGCCGTAGCACTCGAAGCCGTCGAGAGGCCCTCGCAAGGGCCATGCACACCTGCTCGTCATCGCCGTCCGCCTCCCGAATGCGACGCCGCTCAGCAAGGAGACGGGAGCGCTCCGCAGCAAAAGCCTGGGCGCGAGGGTTCACGCCCGCGTGCTTGCCGAAGTGCTGCTCCGCAACCCCGTAGACCGTGGTGATCCAGCGAGCCCGCGCCTCACCTGGGGAGGAGGCCTGAAGACAGAGATCGTGATAGTCTGGACCAGCATCGAAGGCCCGCTCGAGATCGCGAACAAACTCCTGAACTCCAGTCCCGCGCCTGAGGGCCTGGGCCAAGCGGTCATAGTCCCAGGACGTCTGTTCAACACGGGAGTGTGACATGTCGAACATATACTCAAGCCTCAAAAGCAAGGGAACGTGATCTTGCACACCCTGTTTGCGGATCAACTTCAATCGCACACTCGAGCGAGTCAAAGGCAAAACTTTCCTGACGTCGTCCGTCTGCCAGGCGAAGGTCGCGATAAAATCAATACAAGACGCAGACGAGGCGCCGAAATACGTGGGCCCCGTCGGGAAATCGGTCGACACCGCCCGTACAGCGTGGCGCTCCATGACCTCGAGGACGCGGTCGCTGGCGTAGTGCTGTTCGGCATTGCAGTGTCGTCCCAGCGCGGGTGAGCATACACGAGCCTGGCCCCCGCCACGACGGCGCCAGCCGAACGAGTCGTTCAGGTCGAAGCCCCAGAACAGACTAGCCCTGCGCGGCGTCCAGCAAAGAACCTGTTCCAACCAACTGCACATCACATCGACAGTCTGCTGGTACTTCTGATGCGCCTCCGAGGTCACACTCTCTCTCGCATCTCGCCGAGCTGTCGCTCTCGGGGGAAAATAAGTAATCGGGATCACGATGTCGAAACGACCAGAGCGCAGGCGATGCAGAGCCACCCGCCCCCTCAAGTACTTGGGGACGGCCGGCGTGTCCACGAGGTGCTTCATACGAAACTTGGACTTGCGAATCAGCAGCACCGTGCCGCACGATCTGTTCGAGTGACGGCTCGGCACATATCCTGAGTGGATGGAATAGTGATATCAGCGACGATCTTGTGGTGGCCTGATCTTGTGAGGCACGCTCGCCCGTACTGGTGAGGGCAATCAGATCGATCGTCGCAAGCTCCTCGCTTATGTCGTTCAGCCTCAGCTCATCCGCCCTCATACAGTTCCAGTGAACAAACGTGAGCATCTGAACATGGAGTAAGAGAGTGGTGAGCTGGCCGTGGGGGCCGCCCGTAGCGGAGTACGGTTGTCGGTGTGCGGAGGCCTCCTGCCCCAGGTACGCAATCGCCTGGGCATGGTGGGCTAGGAGGAGGAGGAGGAGGAGGAGGAGGAGGAGGAGGAGGAGGAGGAGGAGGAGGAGGAGGAGGGAGGAGGAGGTGGAGGTGGAGGTGGAGGAGGAGGTGGAGGTGAGGGCGCCCGCGTCGGAGAGCGGCCCCAAAGCCCGGCGCCTTCTCGCACGCCTCCCGCGCGGTCGCCACGATCGACTCGCCGCCCGCGGGCGCAGGCCGCACCTCGACCACCTCCGCGCAGCAGAGGCGCGCCCAGGGACACACACTTTTTGGTCGGCGGGTCGGGAGCGGGCCCCTTCCGGTTAAGAGCTAGGCGGGGCGCGCGAAGCACTAATCGGGGAGGCAGGGCGCGGGCGGGCGGGGCCTCAGGCGGCCGGAGGGTGCGGAGTACAGGCGGTGCCGAGCCCAGGGACACACACAGAAATGCACGCACGCATCCCAGGATTGCCCGTGCTTTTTCGCCTCCCTCCTCCTCCCTCCTCCTCCTCCATCTCCTCCTCCCTCCCTCCTCCTCCTCCTCCTCCTCCACCTCCTCCTCCTCCCTCCCTCCTCCTCCTCCTCCTCCTCCACCTCCTCCTCGCCTCCTCCTCCTCCTCCTCCTCCTCCTCCTCCTCCTCCTCCTCCTCCTCATCATCATCATCATCATCATCATCATCTTCCACGGCCTCCGTCTCCGCCCAGTTCGTCGCCGACACATCCCAGGATCTTTGCCTATCTTGGCACTCTCTGGAGCCGTTCCCGAACCCTGGAGGAGGCCTCTTGAGCTGTCTTCGGACGACCTTGCAGGCATCTGGCGCCGTCTTCGAGCCATCTGAGGGCATCTTGGACTCCTCTACCTCCTTTGTCTTCGTCGTCGCTGCCTACAGGGTCGGCGGCATCGGCCGTAAGGCCTTCGCAATAAATGCACAAACACATCCCAGGATGCCCCATGTATTTTCGTGTGTTCTTGATTTTCGTCCTCCCCCACACTTCCCACATTTTCCCACATCTTCCTGTGAATCGACAATGAGTTGTGTCTGTGTGTGTCCCCATGTTTTTCGTATGTTCTTGATTTTCGTCCTCCCCCGCATTTCCCATATTTTGCCACATCGTCCTGGGAATCGGCGATGAGTTGTGTCTGTGTGTGTGTTGTCGCCCTCCTGAATCAAAGCCGAACGTCATGGACGGGTCAGGCCCGGCCTGACCGACCTCTGCCGCCCTACCCTGACCAACACCTTCCGTGACGTCGTCCTCGCCTGCCGCGCCTCCCTCCAGCCGCGCACACACGTCTTGGGGCGAGGCGAGGGGACGGCCGGAAGGGGATGGTTTGCGAGGGGTCGGACCGGCCGCCCCTGAACTGTTCCTCTGCCCGTGTCACGCGGGGCAAGGTAAAAACAAGGCCTCCGCTACAAGGTAGCCGTGCAGCTCGCCGCCCGCTTAGCCCACCGTCCGACACGCTCGGCCGGAAGACCTTGACCAAGAGCCTCAGGAAACCTTCAACTCACAACGCTTGAATGGGCGCCAGTGGTGGATCGCCGGGCAAAGGCAATCACACGCCCGCTCGATGGAACCATTGCGCCGCATAACCGGGAGAGAAGAGGTCTACAAGACCTGGGAAAGTGCCTCGACATTTTGAGTTGTACTCTGTGGCAATTTGAAAAGGTCGGAGCGCCCCCACACACTTTTTCATACCTATTTGCGGACCTCGTTGTTGGCCGCACTGAGGACAAAGTGCGGGCGACTTTGCTGGGATTCTGGCGGCACTGTTGCTGGAATTTCTTTCCCCGACACTTCGATTGCTGACTGCCTGAGGTGATCCAAGCAAGAGGCACTGAGATGACAAGACATCACCCTAACCATGCGTGCGTCACGAAACTGGTGCGCCAAAGTTACGGCAAATTCCAGCTAAGAAGCGCAAGAGGAGGAGAAGGAGGAGGAGGAGGAGGAGGAGGAAGAGGAGGAGGAAGAGGAGGCCAAGGAGGACGACGAGTGGGCAGCGTGATTGCCATAAACGGCTGCCAAGAGCATCGGCTGCTTAAGCCCTGGCCCAAGCCAGAAACATAAATAACACTGGCCACCAGACGAGGGGAAGGGGAGAAGACAGGAGGCGGAAGAGCTCTTGATGTAGTTTGACAGTTTGCTGCAACTTTGACTGGAGAGTTCGCTTGAAGTGCTGCTGGACGAGGGAAAACCCGTGGAACCTCGTGCGGTATCTTGCGGTCAGACTTTTGCAGGAACTTTGACCGTGACCTCAATGGATCAAACATGCCGAACGTACATGTCTTCACACATTACACAACGATTGTTCCTTCTGACTGGGGAACTTTAGAGCCTGCAATTGCCCAAACACACGATTTGCTGTTCAACATTGCACTTTTCTTTCTGGTGACCTCCTGTTATGGTCTGGCGTTAATGTGGCGCTCGCATGTTACAGTGGCCGACATTCCCCACCACGACTGAATGTTATGAAAATGCTAACTAACATCACTGACTAGCCCCCCAAAAACGTGCCATGCCGGCAAACCTAGTCCAACTACTGCCAGCGCGGAGCCTGAACAAATGCGTAGTTGTGTTCAATTGTTGAGGTGCGGCCAATGTGTCGCAACTTGTGTATGGTGCAGGCCGTAGGGCACAAACCACCGCCCACCACGGGACAACATTTACTAGGCGACAATCACAAAGCAGAAGCCATCTGGCAGCAACCACAGGAAGTCCATAGGGCAACAACCACAGGGCACCAACCATAAGGCGCCAACCACAGGGTGCCTACCATGGGGCGCTACCCATCAACGCCCACTGGCAAAGGCCATGGACGGCGACCAAAACATCGCGACGACGAGAACCAACGGGATCCAGGACACTATGGTTGGAGACAAGGACCCAATCCCTTCTGGCATAAATGGGTACCCCTGAATGCAAGCACTGTTTTGTTTTGGGAAACATAGGAATTACAGGCAACCCGATCAACGCTGTTTCCCCAACGACCACAAAGATGATGCACGCAACAAACCAGCCAACTTCATCACATGCTCCGCCATGTAGCGAAGGATGGATAAATTATTACATGCGCGCATCCGCTTGTTGTTTTCCACAACTTGTTTCCCAATCGTTATGTGGTGTCGGGTCCTCTTTTGAATCCGTAGCGCCGCGTTCCACTCCCTGGCTCTTTTCCTGGACTTTGTCCTTGGCTCCTCTCCTTGCCTTTGTCCCTGGCTCCTGTCCTTGCCTTTGTCCAAGAAAAACCCGCCCTCCCGCTGCCCACTCCCTGGCTCCTCTCCTTGCCTTTGTTCTCATCTTGTCGCCGTCATGTCGTCATCGTCATCGTCGTGTTCGCCGTGTCGGCACACCCCTCACACGTTTCGTAGCCCCACAAGGAGCTGCGCCGAAGGCCCCCAGTGGCGGCGTTCGCATGTGGCGGCTGCCCCCATGGGAATGTGTTATAGGGTGCAAGGCGGTTCCTACAGAAAAACGGGGCTCTCGCCCGAATGGTAGGTTCATCGGATGCTCTTCTTTCAAGGGAGCGCTTACGAGGGAATTTGAGACAGGAAGATATACTGCATCATCGTTGATGCATCCTGGGTTCACGTTGGTCGTCCTCCTCGTCCTCTTCCTCTTCCTCCTCCTCCTCCTCCTCCTCCTACATACATAAATACATCAGGGCATGCAGGAGCGAACCGTTCGATGAACGGGGCTCCTCCTCCTCTTCCCCCTCCCTTATCCTTCCCCCTTGCCTCCACGAAGTCGAGACCACAAACTGTACGCAAGACGAAATCGCACGGAGCGTCCCGGAGCGTCTCGGCTTGGCGGCGCAGGCAGGAGGCCTCTATAATTAGGTCGGGCCTGTCCCCCTACAGGGGGATTTTGGACGACAAATAAAAGATACTCAAACACTTAATCAAAAGATGCCCCAACATACTCAAAAAATCCCCCGACTATTTTTTGACTAATTTTTGAATATTCCCCCTGTAGAGAGAGAAAGCCCCGACTCAACTCAATAATTATTAACCCCTGGGTTTGCAGCGACCTGCACTCCTCGAGTGTCATCGGGTGTTCTAACCTGTCCGTCATGGTGCCGGACGCGAATTATGCCAGCGAGCGAAGCGAACGCATTCAGGCATTCAAACGCGGTCAACTCGGCACTCGGCGCGGTGATATCATCGACTTGAAGAACTATGTCGTCGCCAACTCGGGGGAAACTGCTGGGGGGGGAAGCTGCGTTTCGATCTCATGCGCGGCCGTAGAGGATGCAGCCATCATGCCCCCCGCGGGTTCCAGGGCTTCGTGAATCCATCATCAGGCGACGAGGCCATCTATCACTGGCAGTGAACCGAACAACAAGGCGGGGATAACGGCACATCTGGGGTTCACCCCACAGAAACTGACGCCCAAAATGTTCACATCACTGTTTGAGGCCAGCATGGACGAGCCCTTTCCGCCACGCGGCATCTGTCGTCGACCTGCGCGGCGCCACGATGAACAAAAAAACTCGCAGCACATTGCGGGTCCCATCGCCTGCGGGCGTTGGCAAATCCATTGGAATAAACTCTCACGGCCGACTGGGGGAACTCTCTGGGTCGGCGCCCTTCAAGCGGCTTCCCATAGAGCGAAACAGTGAGCTGTTTGAAAGCGTTGGGGGCATTCCGAAATTAGTCATGGCCATGAAAACATACGTTCACGCTGCATCCCCAAATGTCGCGGGTGGAACCGGTCGATGGCGATGCTTGCCGTTTTGAAACCAAGGGGGCTCTGGCACCAACCTCCCAAGCCGTCTTCCACATTCGAAACTGATGACTGAACCCACTGAAGAAATCAGCGGGAAACGAGCCATCCTCCTGCTGGATTAGGTTTACTCTACGATCGGCAGAAGGCGCAGCGCAACGGCGGGCGCCAGAAGACCCTCCAAAAATAGCCCCCTCGCACAATTTCTTCTGCCGTTTCCTTTCATTGGAAATGCAATGGGTTCCGCGAGGTGTTCCACGGCTGCGTTCAGGCGGGGGATATCCCATGCCCCCGCGTCGCTCCCCCATCGCACTTTTGAAGCAGCGGCCATGCCTCTGCTGGCGGACCGGAGCCTGGAACATGGCCAGCCTCGCTCCTCAACAGCTCGCGCGCGCTGCGCCAGGTTGAAGAATGCCCGCGGTAAATCGCCGGCCGCCTCGCCAGCCGACCAATGAGCACAGCCCCCAAGGGCTTAATACTGAACATCGCAGTGAGGAGGGCCTACGATCCAACGACTCAGGCTCGGCGCGCGAGGCCCCCTCGGCGCCCAGAAACAAGTGGGCCGCCGTAGGACATTCATAGGACACCCCTTCAAGCCACAACGCGCAATCCCCGTAGACCTGGCCCTGTACCCTGTCCAGCGCGCCCCTCTCAAGCGGGGCGGCGGGGTCCAAAACGCAGCTAGTCGGGCGGATGGGGCACGGGCGCTTGCAATTAGAATTTCAAGACCCCGGTGATCAGGTGTGGGTTGGCGGGCAGCATCGAACCCGCGCCCCTTGAGATGGCCCTCTTTTGATCCGTTCAACATGCCGCGGGCAAATGGATTTTCGGTTGAGCAACGACGCCGCCGCCAACGCCCGCGAACGCACGCAGAGAGGCGCCGGCCGTGCTCGCCCAGTAGTCCCTGGCCATGCTAACAGACCCATCGCAGTCGACATCACGTAGTCTTCAACTACGGTTGCCGCGTGAAAACCTGGGGGAATCGCCTTATTGCTGCGTCGCCGCTGCTATCCTAATTTTGCCACCGCGCGTGGCCTCGGCGACGCGGTGGCTAATTGCCGCGCGCGACGTGTTTGCTGCCCGTCCTGGAACGCCTGGGCCGACGAGCCGGAGTCGCCGCGGGCATCAGCGCGGCCCCGGGCGACCCCAATAATTGCCGACGCTGCGCAATATGACCATGGGCGACGGAGCGCAACATGGGCGCGAGAAGCCCCGGGTCGCCTGCGAGGTGGCCCCTGGGCCCCCCCCCTTGGAAGCCAACGACCGCGGCGCGCCTATCGCGACCGTTTCCGGACAGCTTTCGACGAGCCTGTCGGATTCCAGCACGACCTCGCATGGCCTGACACGCCCGCTGGAGCAATCTCTTATTCTCAGGATCCCCACAGCATGCCGAAAAAGTCTCCCGGAAACCCGATTTGGTGGGCGATCGAGGCCACCCAGGAAGCCCAAGTCGCCCCTTGGGAAGTCGACGAGGCCCACCGAGATGCCCCCAGCGGGGCCCAAAGCCTTCGCGAGGAGCCCGAGGGCCCTCGGGGGTCTCCTCAATGCGCCCAGGAGGCATCTCAAGGGTTTCAGGGTTCCCCCTCAAGAAATCCACGGGAGGCCCCGGGGGATCTTCGGAGGGGCCAGGGGGGGGCCTCGGGAAACCCGCCGGGGCCTCCTAACGACCAACACTACTGCATAACCAAAAGAATCTACTGCGGGGCAACGGCTCCTACTTTCGCGAATGCATCGCGCAAGTGGAACCCCTGCCCAACGATGGGCGTGCGGAAGTGCAGCCGCATGTGGCGGTGAGCGATCGCTGTCTAAACCAGCCCGCAAGCCTCGCATGGGGTCTCTCTGAAGCCTGAGAGGCTTGTCTAGAGACCCGCGGCGAAGCCTCAAGAGGCCAGCGGCCCCGTCAACAGTCTCCCAGAGGGCCACCTGATGATGCAAGGGTCGGTAGGGGAACGCCCCCGAGGAGGCCCTAGTGGGCCTCTCAGGAAATCGAAGAAACCTCTGAAGAGGCCCAAGACAAGCGCGGGAGCTCTTGGGCCCCCCCGGGCCCCCCATCGGAAAACCGTGAAAGCCTCGGGGATCTCGGGGGGCCGGGCAGCCCTCGCCATAAGCCGAAGAAGCCTCTCAACTAGCCTCTCAACAAGCGGCGGGGGATCTCCGAAATCCCGCGACGCCTGTCATGGCACCCCAGACTTCTCGGATGGCCCCGGAAATTTCTCAGGAATCGCCAGAAATAAACCGCGGCGACGGGAGGAACGCGGACTCGCTGGACGGCCGCGCGCGCGGGGCCCGAGGGGTCGCGAAGAAGATATAAAAAAAGGAACGAAAAAGAAGGATCAGAGAGCGCACGGGCATTTTTCCCGCGCCCGCCCCCCCCGCCGCGCCCCCCCGCGCCCCCTCTTCGCCCTCTGTCTTTCAATGTGGCTCGCGCCCCGCGCCCCGTTCCCCGCCCGCGGATTCGCGCGACGAGGGGCCGGTCGCGAGGCCGAGCTCCGGCGATGCGCGGCAGGCCGGGGCGTCGGCGACACCGCGATATACCGCCCCCCCCCCCCTCGCTGGCCCGAACGCCCTGCTGGGCTCGAGCTATGGAGCAACAAGAACGGTATCGCGCGGTCAGACAGGTTGCCCAGACCCCGGCATGCATGTTTGAAACGAGCCATGCGCGGAGGCGCGGGCTCGATGCTAGCCGCCGAGGAGGCGCCGGTCAAACTGGCAGCGGGGCTGGAAGATTGACGCCCGGTCAATTATTACGTCTCCGACGCCCAGCGCCACCGGCTTACGCGGCACAGCGTCACGTGAAAGATCTGCAGCGACTGAGTGAAAAGCTTTGACTGGCACCTTGCTGATCACGGAGTAGTCACTCGTCCCATGCGCGTCCTCCCTCCACAGAGCAGCCATGGACATCGGGGCCGAAGACTGCTTACCCGCCAAGCCGATCTGGCTCGAGCCCAACGACGCGTAAAGATGCGCCCCCTCAGCGTCTGGCAGAAGTCGACGTCGCGCTGTACACCCCGAAGCTTTGACTGCGACATCGGGCATGGAGGCTCCGCTCAGGCGGCGCGAAAACTAGCTCTGGATCTTCGCGCGGGCCCTGATAGCTCCGAAACGAAATGGCCAGACCGCCCGAGGTAGAACCTCAGCTGGAGCCCAGAAGCTGCCTCAACCTACGGAACTTTGTGCGCGTTCTGGCGGGCTTCGCAAACTCAGGCCAGGGGCAGCCTCTGCTCCTGGACCAGAATCATAGAGGCCGGGGCCCCCTCTTACACGGTCGAGGACCCTCTTCCACCCTGCGGCGTTGACCGTGCAAGCATGCAACCACGGGTCTCTAGAGACTGGGTGGGGAGGGCCAGGGGGCCTGCGAGGACGAGGTGGATCCTGGCCGGCCTCCAAACAGTTGCTGTCAGAAATGTTAAAGATGATCCTGGCCACTGCCTGTCTGGCCAGGCTCGTCTGCGCTCGGTGGGGCCTCGGCCTGCGCAACCTTGGCCTTCGCAGGCTCCGTCTGCGGCGCGAGCCCACGTGGGTTGCGCTCGCGATGTCCATCCACGTCAGCACCCTATCCACCGGCTTCCTCGCGAACTAGAAATGCGGGTCGATTGGGCGATGGCCGAATTAGTGGCGCCAGCGGTACTGCTGGATGCTACGCTAGAGGGATAGCCGGTGTAGGCGAGGCTGGTGCTGGCGCTGCCACCGATAATACCGCATAGAAAGGCCCCAGCATCTCCAATGCACACTGAACTGCCCTGGGGTCACTTCCCGCTTCGGCCGCCAGTGCTGTCGGTGCTGCCTCCACCTCATCTTTTGACAAAAGTGGAAATCGCATCCTTACCTAGGTTTGACGAGCCACTCCTGATCTGTGACTCCTCCGCCTTGGCCAGTGGCTGGAGCTCCACCGTCTCCTTCCTGCAGTCCAGGAGGTTGTGCTTTGTTTCCTCCAATCAGGTGGCGGCCTCGGACAGCTCCCTCTTTTGTTCTTGTAAGTGTACACGCGCGTTCTGAACCTTGATTTGAACACGTCAAACTGAGCGGGTATGACTGCCCACCTGCTTCCCGACTTTGGAAATCTAGCTGTTGGCCGCCAGGGGACGCGGACAGGCTGTCTTCCAGTGCCACGCTCTGCTTGCCATGCTTGAAACTGGACCTGGGTAGCGTGGGCTGCCTCCGTGACTTCTCCATCAATTCCTGTGGTCTAATCGCCTGCGTCATGAAGAACCCGGATATGGCGGCCAACTGTGCCGCTCGGCTTTGGCTTCTACGTTGCCACGTCAGTTGAATATTGTAGAAGCAAGGCGAAGATAATGAGAACCACCACGCTGTTTGCCTCCACCGGTCTTGCCGTTAAGTCCGCCATCCTTTCGTGTCCTGTCTTCTTTGTTCGTCCCCTTTGCGCCCGCCGCGTCCTGACCCGTGCCCATGAAGCCTGGGAGCGTTTCCCTGCTGTGAGACTGCCAGGCAAGAGCCGCTTCTGTCTGGTGTGAACCACGCCGCCAACACCAACTGATATTGCAATTGTAGTAGCCTGGTACACCCATGGCATGTCCAAGGGAAATAAATGAGGCATGTGGCCACTAATGTTCCCATCGCAGCAGCAGGCAAAAGTGAGACGGAAAATAAGCATGTGCGGTGCTGCAGCTGATGTGCCCTCGCGCCAGCTGCGGCGCCGACGACGAGGGAGAAGTCAACGCGGAGGACCCCTGGCTGGGCAGCAAAATGTGGGGCCCGCGAAAAAAGTCGGTATCTGAACCAGCTTGACACATGGTTGACTTGAGGCCAGATGGCTTGAGCCAAAATGGCTACGGCTACGGGTTCCTCCTCCTCCCCACCCCGTCATCCTGGATCCTCCTCCTCATCACCCTCGGTGTTCTCCGCGATTCGGCGCCTGCAGGGATGGACGGATGACGAAGCAGAAATCGATGCGATTCATCAACCTCCAATATCAGCCAGCGTTGACTCCAAATAGATAGGAGGACAGGAGGAGGACGAGAGGAGGATGGGAGGAGGACGAAATCAAGAAAGCGCAAGCAAGCAAGCGGAAGCAAGCAAGCGCAAGCGAGCAATAACAAGCAAGCAAAAACCAGCGATCAAGTGCAAGCAAGCAAGGGCAAGCAAGAGCAAGCAAGCGAGAGCAAGCACGAAAAGCAAGCAAGCAAGTGCCATTGGAAAAAGGGGGGGGTGCCATTGGAAAAGGTGGGGTATGCCATTAGAAAAAGGGGGGTGTCCCAAATACCAATTCCTTATGATGAGCTAGGACTCCTACAGGGCAAGCCTATTTGGAGAAAAAACGAGGCAACCGACCGAGAGACGACCGATCGAGCCAACTCTTGGACTGCTTGGGCCTGCGAGATTCCAAGGAACTCTCGAGAAACTGTGCACGCTCTCGATCAGGCCATGGGTGGAAAGACGCCTTGCCCACCTTCTTGCGAGGGGTGCAAGGCTGCCCGCTGAGATTGACCACCACCTGCACGCCGAGTGCAGCGAGCACCTGTGGGACGTGTCTCCCTTTTACACATCTGGGTTTGTCGTCGTCGCCGTCCTCATCCTCATCTTCCTCTTCCTACCCATCCTCCTCCTCGTACTCAGCATTCTCGTCTTCACCACTGGCTTCCGCCCACCGACGCTTCAAATGTTTGTCCTCGCCTCATCCACCGCATCTGCTCCTTCTCGCCGTGCAGCGAGGACTGGGGGATGAATGAAAGGACGAGGCACGAGTAAGCATGGCAAGCAGGAGAAGTAACAGTATTGAGGGCACGGCGATGAACATGAGGAGGTGAACAAACGGGCGCGGGGGTTACGGCGGAGGGAGGGGGAAGCGAGAAGTGCAAGGGGTAGGCGCCGCAGCAGCAGCATGACGACGTTGACAGAATTCCTGTAAACTATGTTCGCCTGACGTGCGCGGATATCTAACAAGTCTGGCACTACGTAAGCGTGATACATATATATATATATATAGATATCTATACGACCACCCTTCGGGTGATAAGGAGGTTCTGGGGGGGGGGAACCAACGTCTCACTCGATCGGTCCCACTATCGATCTCAGTATCGATCTCACTATCGGTCTCGCTCGATCGATCTCACTCGATCGATCTCACAATCGATCTCACTCGATCTATCTCATTCGATCGATCTCACAACTGATCTCACAATCGATCTCACAATCGATCACACAATCGATCTCACATTCGGTCTCAATATCGATCTCACTATCGATATCACAATCGCTCTCACAATCAACATCATCATCATCATCATCAACATCATCATCATCATCATCATCAACATCATCACCAACATCGTCATCATCATGAGGGCACCGTCATCATCATCATCATCATCATCATCATCATCATCATCATCATCATGAACATCATCATCAACATCAGCATCATCATCGGGACAACATCATCATCATCACCAACATCATCTCATCATCGACATCATCATCATCATCATCATCATCATCATCATCATCATCATCGGGACACAGTCATCGTCATCATCATCAGCAGCATCATCAGAATCATAATCATAATCGGGACACCATCATGATCAACATCGTTCTCATCATCAACATTATCATCAACATCGTTATTATCCTCGGGACGCCATCATCATCATGATCATCGCATCATCATCATCATCGACATCATCATCATCAACAACATCATCATCATTGGGGCACCATCATCATCATGAACAACATCATCATCAACATCGTCAGTATCATTATTATGATCATCGGGACACCATCAGCATCACCATCATCATCACCATCATCATCAGCATCATCATCGGGACACCATAATCATCATCGACATCATCATCATCATCAACATCATTATCGCCGGGACACCATTTCCATCAACATCATCATCGCCAACATCATCGGAATCATCATCATTATCATCATCGGGACACCATCATCGTCATCATCATCAACATGATCATCATGAGCATCATCATCCTCATCATCGGGACACTATCATCATCATCGACACCATCATCAACATCATCATCATCTTGATCGGGACACCATCATCATCATCATCATCATCGTCATCATCATCATCATCATCATCATCATCATCATCATCATCATCATCATCATCATCATCTCATCATCATCTCATCATCATCATCATCATCATCATCATCATCCTCGCGGGACACCGCGGGACACCGGCGGGACACCGCTGGACACCGCCGCGGAACACCGCGGGACACCGGCGGGACACCGCGGGCCCCCGGCCGCCCGGAAGGGAGTCATTTGGTCCGGCCGCGCCTCAGCCACACGGGACACCAGCGGGACACCGGCGGGACACCACGGGCCCCTGGCCGCCCGGAAGGGAGTCATTTGGTCCGGCCGCGCCTCAGCCACAGGAGACTTTCTCTCGCCCGCCCACGCAGCTTCGCCTCGCCCGCACGGCACGCACGAACACGAAACCGAAATCGATTTCCGGGCGGGGGGGCTCTCCGTTTCGCTTCGATCTCACCCCCTCACCTCCGACATGTGCATGTATGTATGCATGCATGCATGCATGCATCTAGGTATGTGTATCTACGTGTACGAAAGTATGTATGGATGTGTGTATGTGTGTATGTGCTTATGTGTTTATGTACGCATGCATGTAAGTACATATATATATATATATATATATATATATATATATATATATATATATATGGATGCGTATGTATGTATGTATGTATGTATGTATGTATGTATGTATGTATGTATGTATGCATTTATATATGTATATATGTATGTATGTACACATGTGTGTGTGCATGTATATGTGTATGTGTGTATGTATGTATGTATGCATGTATATGCATGTATGTATGTGTGTATGCATGAATGCATGTACGTACTTGTGTATGTGTATGTGTGTATGTATGCATGTAGGTATGTATGTATGCATGCATGTATGTATGTGTATATTTATATGCGCTCATGAATGTATGTATGGACTGATGTAAGTGTATGCATGTATGCATGCATGTATATATGGACGTGTATATGTATACTTTCATTGGTGCATGACAACATGTATGTACGAATGGATCGTTGTATGTATGATTGTATGGCTGTGTATGTTTGTGTGTGAATGTGTAGGTGTATGCGTATGCGTATGCGTATGTGTACGTGTATGAGCATGTGTATGTATGTATGCATGCATGCATGTATGTATGTGTATGTGTGTATGTGTATGGGTATGCGTATGCGTATGTGTACGTAAGTGTGCATGTTTGTATGGATGTATGTAGTTATGTAGGTGTGTGTGTATGTATGCATACATGCATGCACGTGCAGTCGTATGTGTACGCATGCATGTATGTATACAGACATGTATGTATGTAAGTATGTATGTATGTATGTATGTATGTGTGTATGTATGTATGTATGTATGTATGTATGTATGTATGTATGTATGTATGTATATATGTATACATGTAGATGCATGTATATATGGACGTGTGTGTATGGATGTATGTGTATGTGTATGTGCATGTACATGTGCATGTGCATGTATGTGATTATGAAAGATGGGTCGACAAAACAGGACGTGGCATGATTGTTGGCCTCTGAAAGGACCGCCAGGCTTTATCTGTAGCGCAGGATGGGCCCGACGGAGGGAGAAACTGACCGAGTCCAAATGGGCAACTAGCTACTCCGCATGCTGTTGTTGCGGTGAACATTTGGGGCATGCTCGCAGCTGTAGAGCACCCAAAGGTGCCTGGCAAGCTGAGGGAAGTCTTCGGTGGCAATTCATGGGAGCCTCCCATACCGCCGACTTGTCGGCTCTTACGAATCGACGCTAATCGACGCTAGTCGAATTGACGCTAATCGACCCGAGCCGACGCTAAATCGGCACTATCCAATCGACTCCCAGACGCTAACCGACGCTAGTCGACGCTAAAGACAGAATTAGGAGGGTATACCAGGCTCCCATGATTTGCTACTGAAGGGGTCCTGCCTCCTGGCTCCTCCTGCACTGACTGGCTCGGGGTCTAGCCCAGCGCCGTGGACACATTCTGTTTGGGGGGCCCACGGCGGCAGAACCCACACGGCTCTTCTCGGCCCACCTGACCCAACCGCCCTACGCCGCGAAAAGCGATACACAGACAGCCTCCGACGACTGGTGCGTGTACCTTCAGAGAGGGTGGCGGTGTATAAAGGCGCTGGCCCTCAATGGTAACTTGCACACCGCCGCCCTCCCCTGAGGCCCAGGAGCAATCCATAGGAGGGTGTCTGTGTGTATGTGTGTGTATATATATATATATATATATATGCGGCGGGCACCCCGCGACCGTCAAAAAACGAGAGGAAACAGCTTCGCGCCCCATCGTGGAGCGGGGCCTCGGCCAGAGCCTGCAGGACCTCCGCAAGCTACTCCGGTTGGAAACTGCCTACCGTCAATGGAAGCAAAGCCTCCCTCCTGACCTCGCAGTTTTCAGGCCGCGCATGGACCCCGACGCACCCTTGCCCACGCGGCAAGACTTCTCTGGCTCGGTCCGAGGCCACAGCGAGGAACGAGGTTCAAGACGCAGAGCTCCGGCCCCATGACCCCTGCATGGCCTTCGAAGGTGTCGACATGCGGGTGTGCCTACGCCATGTCGCCCGCCCTCCGTACCGCCGCCCTCTCCCTCAGCCCCTCACTCCTGCTGCCGCTGCCTGCTGTTGAAGGGAGATGGTCTGCGTTACCACGCTGCCTCCAGCCGATGAAGAAAGCAGAGCGGCAGCAGCAGCAGTGACCAGCTCCTGGTACTCAATCAGAATCATAATCAGAATCAGAAGGCGGGGTAACACCGCAAGCCGCGTGCGCAAAACGCACTATGCGAAGACAGGTGCAATGCAGGCGCACTGCCCGCTGCAACGCTGGAACTACTGAAAGACTTCGTGCTCATGCGAGGGGGGGGGGGGGCAGGGACTAGAGAGGATAAAGGACAGCGTGCGGAAAAAGTAACACGGCCTTCTCGGCGCCCGGCTCGCGCAGGCAGCGCTCCGTGCCCAAGTAGAGAGCGGGCGGCCCGCGCGCGGCGCTGCAGCCGGGCGGCAGGATCTCCGCCGGGCTGGGCGGCAGCGGCTGGGAGCTCTCTGCGCCTCTGCGAGGGGAGGGAAAGGAAGGAGCAGTCTTGGAAGACGGGAAGAAGCTGAAGCAAGCTGAGATGCAATGCATACCTGCACAAGCGCCACACGTTGCTGTCTTCTGCTGCAGCTGCTCCTTCTCCTCCTCACATCTCCCTCTCCCTCCACCTCCCCCCCCTCCTCCTCCTCACATTGTTTGTTATTTTTCTTCATCGTCTTCCTCCCCTACCCTTTCTGGACGGCTGAGGAACAAGCTCCCCAAACGATTCCAAGAGGGTTCCGCACCACCAAGACGCTCCCAAGACTGCAGAAAAGGTCAATGACACTGCCCAGGACCTTGGCAGTCTTATCGACTTCATCTGCGAGTCCCCAAAAGCAAGTGCGACGCTCTACAACGCCCAGGAGTTGGGCCCCATGGAAGAATCCAAGAGGATTCTGCCCCCCCAAAGCCTTGAAGGATGATGAGCCCCGAGATTGTCCAAAGGCCGCCGCATTGCGCCCGCCTTACTTGCAAATGTTCGTGCGCACCGGCCCATCCGAATGTGCGAATGGCCAGATATGCGTTTAAATGTTTCCTTCCGTTGGCGACACCAGCGCGGAGGACCACGGCGTGCAATTGAACACTCAAGCCCTGGTTGCCACTGACATTCTGCACTCGTGCTCCAGGTGCCCCGCCCTCTCCACAGTTATTCAGTTTGAACCGCACTCCCCTCTCTCCCCTGGTGCTGTCTTTATTGACACTCGTTTATCCAGCATGCTGTTTTGTGCACAGGGCTGTCCAAAATTGGCTTTCGACACAGTGGGGACTCGGCCACAAGAAACCTCTGCAAGAAACCCAACCCTGAAATACGCGATTTGTTCAATGAAAATTCACAGGTGTCGATCGAAAATCGTCAAGATCTGATTGGGGGCCCATCGAAATCCAAGAAACCCAGGGCACCCTGGCAAAATCCAACTGGTTTCTTGGCACGCGCCCCCACTGTACTGCTTCTTGCAATCATGACGACATCGGTCCTTCCGAAATTATGCGTCCGATGCAGCGTTGGCCGCGCTTCAGGATCGGCGCTCTCCGCCGTCGTTTAGATCTGCGCTCTCGCCCCCGTGCGGGCAACATTCCTCGATCCACTTCCTTTCCCGTCGTTGCTGTTCACTCCCGTTCCTTCCTCCGCCTTCCCCTGGTCCTCCTGCTCCTCCTACTCCTGCTCCTGCTGCTCATTCTGTTTCATCATCATCCTACTCATCCTCCTGCTCATCCGCCATCTCCTCCTCCTCCTCTTCCTCCTCCTCCTCCTCCTCCCCCTCCTCTCTCAATGTACCAAACACTATCTCTGATCGCGCACAACACGATGGGGCCATTTTGATGATGACAATAATCTAGGGCAACCCAGCCCACGGATAGATAAAACCTCAGCGCAATGGGAAGGGATGATGACGGGTATGGCGCGAGAGCACCTACCTTGTAGTATCCCCCATCTATTTGTTTCTCTTCCTCTTCCGTCCTCTCATCCTCCTGATCATCCTCTGCACCACATCGCGCCTCGTTCGCTTTGCCTTTCCAGGGCACTCGAAGGATTCAGGACATCGTCACCTACATACTTGCATAGGGCATTGCGAAAGTGCGCCAGCCTCACGATAAGCAAAAGACTGACTCAGGACGCTCCACGATGGCACTTGATCCCCAAACTGATCCTTGAGATGGCCCGAAGGAAAGTCCACACGTGTTTTTTTAAACACACTGCCATCCACCAACGAATCGGAATGAGGGCGTGAAACAGGCTGCGGAAGCAGTAACACCACACCGCTGCAACGCCAACACCATGTAACTTTATGACGCTGCTACGTGAATGCGCGTCAGCAGAAGTGGATGCGAAACTTTCACTAATTTGAACTTCTCGTCTTGACCTGCATGCACCTTGGAACTCCGCTCGAAACCAGTGGCGATGACGTCATGTTGGACCACCTGAAAACAACGTGCCCACGTGCGTTTGTCCATGACAACTCTTGGTGAGCCTAAGATAACGAATGTGGGTGGTGATATATGTTCCAGGCGTCCGTCAACTACAGACTCGCACGTCGTCTGCCTAACAACATTTTCTGGAGCGTGTCGCATGACTCTTCCTGAGACCAGGGAGCTTCAAGATGGTACGAGGGGTTAAACAGTAGGGTCACCAGGGCCCCGAGTCGGCCCAAGAGCGCTTTGGGGGCCATATTGAAGCCCCAGGGGCCAGTTCGAAAGGCCAGACTGATCGAAAAACATGATGTGTGTTTCAGTGATGCTCGCACTATCTGCTTTTCGGTCTCAGGAGCGTCCGAGGCGGCCAGGGAGGTCCCCAATATCGCCCCGAGACGGCCCAAGAGGACCCCCAGACGGCCCCAAGAGGGGGAAAGCGAAGGGACATTTCTCGCCCTCCATCCCAAGAAGTCCCCAAGATCCAAGATCATCCCACAGGCCGCTGAGATGCCCCCAAGAGGCCCCAAGGAGCCCCCCAAGTGCCTCAAAGATGCCCTCATAAGGCTCCCAAAAACCCCCAAGAGGCCCCCAATAAGGTCCCACGGGTCCCTCCAGAGCCCTCCAAGAGGCCCCGAGAGGCATCCCAAGAAACCCTCAGATACATCCAAGAGGCCGCCGACCCGCAACCCAGCTGGCGTCAAAGACGGTCTCAAGACTCCTTCAAGACGGCTAAGATTGCCAACAAATCGCCAAATGGCCTCACGACGCCCCTCAGACGGCCCAGTGGACACATGACGGCCCCAAGACGGCCCAGTAGGCCTCCGAGACGCTCCAAGCTGCTTCCAGACGCTCAAAAACACAGACGGATGGTGGGTTTATAGTTCAGTCGGGCATGTCCCCCTACAGGGGGATTTTCGACGAAAAATAACACATACCCAAAAAAAGAAATCCAAAAATAGCCCAAAAATAGTCTGACGACTATCTTTTGTGTATTTTTTGGGGGGTACCATTTTGGAATATCTTTGGAGTATTTTCTATGTTTCGTCGAAAATTCCCCCGGTAGGAGGACACGCCCGACTTCAGTTTACAATTCTCGAGTCCGTGCTCTTTCGGGTCTCCGCCGGCTGGCCTGGGAGACCTCCAAGGTGGCGCCAGAACGGCCCAGGCAGCTCCGAAGATGGCCCAAAAGAGGCCCCCCGAGACGGCCCCAAGACGACCCTCGGGCGGCCCCAGAGGGCCCCAAGACGACCCCAGGACGGCTCCAAGACGACCCCAGGACGGCCCCAAGATGGCCCAAGATGCCCCAGGACGGCCCCAGGATGGCCCCCCAGGATGCCAAAACGGCCCCAGGACGGCCCCAAGACGACCCTCAGACGGCCTGAGACGGCCCGAGGGCTTTCCAGTCCACAACGGTTCGAGGAACACCTTTTCCCCTGGCAGGACTCCGGTCCAACGGTTGCCCACATAGGCGCTTGCAGAAGGCAGGAAGCGGTAGTGGTTCGCCGTAGGCGTCTTCGATCATTGTGGTGCCCAGTCTGGATGTCGGAACACCTTGACGCACTACCTGACCGTAGCATCAAACATAAAGCAGGTGCGAACTCCGGGCAATGGGGGAGCAATGCTGTCAAATTAGGGCGGGCTACAATCGCACTCGAGGATCGTTCTGCTCCCTGGACCTGCACTTCCCAACCACAGCGCCGGCCCCCAAACTGTACAGGCCAGCGCGAGCCCTCTGCAGTAAACGAGCGCACGACAATAGCAACAATAATGTTGCAAATGCGTACCAGATCGAAGGAAGGTTATTCGCCGAACCTATTGCGATTTTTATATCAAAATGAAGAGACTAACTCGTGCGTCCGGCCGCAGCCCACCAAGGGCCAGTCGGCTCCACGTCGCCACCTTTCGAGCGCGTGGAGTTCTAGCCTAAACGAATCGACTCTTCAGAGTCAGCGCGTCCTGGCGAGAATACATGCTGTGACAAATCAACTCCTTCAATCCCTCTCACCTTGACATTTCGCCCGTCTTCTCAAACACTTTCTTGCCGTCCGCCATTGCAACTCGACGCGCCGCAACAAAGGCGTACCGACTGGTGAAAGCAGAAACGGAAAGGAGGGGGAAGAGGGGCATCCCCCTGATTGCAATGACCTCCAGCTCCCAACCCTGATTGACCACCCGCACCGCACTTACAGAAATACCGTCGCAGTGGGCCGATGGGCCCCATGGTGACGGGGAGCAGGGTGCACGTTCTTAGACCAGCTCAGCATCATCTGGTCCCTGACATCGATTTGCTGTACCACCACGTTTCGGTCCAATCCTTCCAAGTAAAGACGACTCCAGAACATATGCGCGCGTGTGTTCGCAACTTTGCCTGTGCGGAGAAGCTGCATGTCGCAGGCTCCTCCTGTGCCCAGCCGCCCCTGCGCGGCCCTGCCCGTGCAGCCTTAGCCAGCTGACTCCGACACCCGAGCTATGCAGAACTCTCCGAGCGACGCAGCCCCGCGGGGCCAGTGGCCTTGCTTGCGCGCGCAGAAGGCGAAGCGGCGCGTGAACGCCGCAAATCCTGCGCGGCTAGAGACAGCAGCAGGATAAAAAAACATGAACACACGACGATACTGTGATGTGGCGCGTTCGCGGAGAGGGGCAAGAAGCATGTTCATCAAACTCAAAATGCATGTTGGATGTGGCGGGTATGTGTCAATCGTCCGCCTTGCCCATGTATGTTTGTTAGGTGTGATGAGAACATGGTGGGTGTGGTACATACATCCAAACAAGCAACACGCACTAAAATCGTAAAAACTGCTGACATGGAGCGCTGGGAGGCAGTATGATGCAATATTATGCCAACGATGATTATGAAACAAATTGGTAATATGATGTGGTGTATCCTCGAATCGCCCCAACGACGGTGCGATGGCAGTAGAAATGGTACCGGGGGTGACGTTGATGCCTCGTGTGCGGCTGGCGGAAACGGGGGCCCTGCACGCAAGGCCCAGCCGCTCCCAGAAACATCGGGATGAGTGTGAGGATGCACTTCCTTTTCGGCACACGAGGGCGCATCTTCGAAGAGCCCCACGAACGGTGCGGCAACGGTAGAAGAGGGGCGAGGCGTGACGTTGATGCCTCTTGTTATGGTTGGCGGGAACGAGGGCTCTGCACGCAGGGCCCCAGTTATTCCCAGGAAAAGGATGCCCACCTTCTGCGATGGGAATAGGTCACAAAGGTTGAGCGGGAACCGACCGTCCTGGCATTCCTATACGTTTACCACGACATGTTCTTAGAACCCAGAAATGTTCTAATGTCCAAACCAATGTTCTTATAGCATAAGCACGATGCGCTAAAACAAGACACTCCCAGCCATAAGTGTTCGAAAAACATCTCGTGCAGACCACAAAAGGTGATTCGAACCTTCTCTGGTGGGCCTATAGGCGAGCCAGGACACTTCGAAACTGCTTGGACAGGATGGGGGGCAGAAGCCCAGAGGCGCGGGGCGCGGATACTGCCCCCCCGCCAGACGCTGCTAATTGGCGCCGAAGCCCACCCCCCCGCCTCGCTCCTCTTGCCCAATCATTTTGAGCACCGCCACCCCGCCCTACCGCACCGCGCCCGTGCGCAAGGGGACATGGGGCGCCCACCCGTCGCAAGGCCCTCCGCGACATGGGGCGCCCCATCCCGCCCTGGACCCCCCGCCGCCGCGGCGGAGAGAGGGGGCGCCCAGAGCCGAGGTGCCCGCATGTGCCCGCGGCGCCCGCCGGAAGGGGAGGGGTTCAAGACTATTCCGCAGGCGCGCCAGTCGCACTGGGCGGGCCCTCGGCCAACAAGGTCGCGCGGGGCCCCGGGCGTCGTCGAGGCCGACTCCAACTCCGCCCGCGCGACGTCGTCCGAGACGCGCTGGGCGGGGCTGTCGCGGCACAAGGCGCGCTCGCGCGCCCGATTCTCTCTCGGCCGCGCCCGCCCGCGGCCGCCCTGGCTGCGGCTGCCGCCCTGTCCCCGACGATCGACTCGCAGAGTTCCGGGGGGCCTGCGCCATCTCGTCGATCGCGTGCCGCGCGAGGTCCTCGGCCTCCGCGTGGATCCTGAGGGGCTCGTTGAGGTCCGGCGTCTCCGCGTCGGTGAGGTCGCCTGCCTCCTGGTTCTCGTCGCGCAGTAGCCAGTCCTGGCTCGGCGCCATCTTGCGCGACCGCAGCTCCTCTGAGAGCTAGGCGAAGACCGTCCGCGGCCCCTTAGTCGACGCGGCCCAGTTCCCGCGCAAGCGTTCCTGGGTTGTCCGTCGAGCCCGCCATCTTCAGGGTCGCCCTCTGGCGGAGCTCTCTGCGCCCCGAGAACAGCTTCGCGCTGCGGATCGCGCAGGGGGGCCCGGGCGCCGCGATGGCCCTGTTCAGATGCCTTGGTCCACGCCCAAGGGAGCCATTCCTTCTCAACCGCCAGGGCGCGCCGCCGAGATCCTCGCGCGCTGCCGTTCGGCGGCGCTTCCCAGCCGCGCGCCCAGCGGCGCCCCCCTCCGCCCTCGCGCCCGAGCAGAAGTGGTCGGCGCTCTCGGTTTTGAACTTGATGGGCGCCTCTAATCTTTATCCACTTGCTAGTCGCTTGCCGATCGACGCCGGCGCGAGCCTGGCCGCCCGCGGTGGGAAGGCCCTACCTGCCTGCACTCGCGACGCTGGCGAGCCGGGCGCGCGCGGGCCCTGGGGGCGGCAACTCACGCGCGGGGACTGGTGCCGCGAAGCCCAGGCGCCAGGCCGCCGCCCAACCAAGCCGCCCTCGCCTCCGAGAGGCCCGCGGTGTTAGCGGTGCAATCGCAGCGGAGGCCGATCCAATCCACCCCGATCCTGCCCCGTGTCTTGGCCCTGCGCGCCAGGAAGCAGAAGCCCGTCGCCCCGCTCCGGTCGCCTCCAGGACGTCGGCATAGGCGAGCTGTTCCATGGGCCAGTCGCCGCCCACTAGGCAGAAGATCGCCCGCTGTCCAGCGCCGAACAGTCTCGCCCACCAATGCGACGCGCTGGATGTGCCGAAGGCGCCGACGGTGTCGCAGTGGATCTCGCCATCGAACTCGCAGGCCATCATGCCCCACTCGTCCTCGCGGATCTCGACGATTCGATGCGCGCCCTCGACGTCGGTGACGAGCGAGAAAATGAGTTCGCGCCGGCCCCCGCAGTACATCAGGAGGGGGCTGTTCTTCTCTGCGGGCCTCGGCATCCTCAGGTTATCCTCTGTCGGCTTCTGCATCGGACCCGATTGTTCACGGCGGCCGCGCGCCATCGTGCACGCGTCTCTTCTTGCCGGTCGCGTCTCTAGGGCCGGCAGCACCCCTGTGGCGCAGTTGTCGTGGAAACGGTTGCGCAGCTGCTCCTTGGACAGGCTGGTCATCCTGCCAGCCTTCACCTCGTCCGCGAGGTGTCCTTGGAGACATTCGCTGCGGTCTTCCACGCAGCTGTAGTTGGCTACTTCTGGGGCGGCCCAGTTGGCAACCTCTTGGTCGAGGCGCCACTTCGTGAGCTCGTCGAAGGGCCCCCCCCTGCCAGGGCATCTCGTGCAGTATGCCCGCTGTGGCCCTTGTCTCCAGCTCCATCATCAACTCTGCGTCGGGGCCCCTTGCTTCGCGTAGGAGTGTCGCCCGCAGGCGCAGGCGGATGGGCTGCCCCTACGCTATGTAGCCCAAGTCGTCGCCATGGCCGGCACGCTCCTGTGCCCCTGGCCAGCCTTCGAAGATCCTCCTGGCAGCCTCGTAAACCTCCTTCCTCGCGAAGTATGATGGCTCGCTCGGGTCGGTGTCAACAGGGTGCCTCTGTGCCCGCTCGCTCAAACGGGGCGCGTTCTGCGGCGTCCCAGCCGCCCATGACCTCACGATCCCTTAGAAAAGCACGGACCGCAGCGCGGTCCAAGTCGAGAACTTCCGAAAGTCTTGGCCCCAGCGGCCAGGCGACAGGAAGCCTGCGCCGTCGCGAAAGCCTCTCGGCCCCCGATGCACCCGCTGCAGCGCGGCGGCCCTGCGCCTCCGAGTCGGCGTGAAGGCCTCGTGGTCGCGCGCCTCTTTTTCCCCCCGCCGTGCTGCGATGATGGCGTCCGCGTGGCAGTCGGAGTGCGGGCCGCAACGGCGCCAGAGGGTAGCGCCGCCCAGCTCCGCGAGCTCCTCGAGCAGGTCCGACCGTGTACTTCTCGGCAGCTGCACGGGAGATCCACGAGACGAAGTCGCCGAACTGCATCCCGATCTTCAGCAAGCGGCTGGCTAGCTGCTCGCACCTCACACGCCAGGCGTAGAGCCCTCCAAGGAAGAACAAAAATAGTGACTACCGTTGTGCACGCCAACCGGTGGGCCGACATGAGCCTGACAGGCTGCGTGCCACCACGACCACTGCAGGAGCAAAAGGCACAACACCAAGGTTAAACGGCCTGTGCATGCCACTCTCTTGCAACTCCGCACTCGGGTGGGTCGCCGGTGAGCTCTCCCAGCGTCGGGTGTGGTGCGGCGATGAATCCAGATCCCGACGGGAATTGCAGGCGGCACACCGTGGCACTCAACGATATGGCGCTGCGACCCGACCTGCTGCCGCGTGTCGTGCGAAAGGGACTGCCAGAGCAGAGACTTCAAGAGAAATGCCCTGCTTCTCGGCCACCATTCGCTCCCCTAGGAAGCTCCGCAAGTCAAGTCTTCAATCAAGAACTGCCTCATGTCAGAAAGCAACGAGGGTGCAACCCGTCTGTGATAAAGGCCACTGCGCACCCCAGGGCGTGAACTATGTTCAGGAACCTCTGGCGACGAGGCCTACGCGGCAGGGGCAGCGGCAAGGACCCACAACATCGTGGAACGGCGCGGACACCACGCCAGAACGGCCTCCAGGAAGCTAGCGTGCTGGACAGCACTGCAGAGGAACACCGTTCTCCGAGTCCACGAGGGCGTGAACGAATACCTTTCACCAGCCCGATGGATTGCACGCGTGAGTAGAACGCGAAGCCTCGCCCTCGACAGTGAGGCAAGAGGAACTAATGAAAGGAAGAGAAACGTTGCACGCCGCGCGGCACTACAAACATGGAATACAGCACAGCAACCAGAAGCCGCTGCCATGCTGGGGCGAATGGTGGTTTCGGTCTTACTCAAAGCCGCCTCCAGCCAAAATGACGACGGAATGTGTATACATATGTATGCGTGTAAATCTATACTTATGCAGATGTATATATATATAGATGTATAAACGTGCATACACATGTACACGTACATATATACATAAATATAAGCATCTAAGGCGATATCCATACCCGTTCGTAGATTGCACAGGGTTGCTGTTTGGGGTCCGCGCTGGTATCATGCCCAACGTTGAAGTCTGATTTCGGGACCTCACGCGGCATTCTGGTTCAGGCGCGACTGAAGAGCTGGCAGAACGATCCCGCGCCACAACGAGCTAGCATGCAAGTACGACCCTGAACAAGCAAGGACATTGCTCTGTGACTCCCCCTGTGTCAGAACTCTCGCTGTGGGTGCTGACTCCCCCCTTCCGCGCCCGTCCTCCACGGAGCACGAGCAGCTGCCCCTTCGGGCGCACCGCCAGCCGAGCCAGCTGTCTCAGCGCTCCCAGCACGGCTGGGTCCTTGAGGGCGCCACTCTCGGCACCGTAGACCTCGAATGGGAACGGGGGCACAAATAATTCCTTTTTCTAACTACCGACCAGACCACCCCAACCCAACCCGAAAACCCGAATCCCACCAGCCCTCTGGGCGTAGGTGGTTTAGGGAATTTCCTCTTCCATCTTCCCTCCTTCCCCTTCGGGGAGGGGTTTACCCTTCCCCCTAACCCCCTCCCCTGGACTTGGACGGGGGGGGCCGCTGGTAGTTAGAGCGTCCAAAACGGCCTCGGCGAGGAAGCCAAAATCATCGGTTTTACTAAGGTTTTGGCCCCATTTTGGCCTTTTGGGGGGGCAGTGCTAATTAACCCCACCCTCTTCTTTGATCGATCTCCTCCAAGATGGCCCCAAGAGGCGCCCAGGAGGCCCCAAGAGGCTTCCAAAAGGCCTCCAAGAGGCCCCAAGAGGCCACCATGAGGCCCCAAGAAGCCCCCAAGAGGCTCCAAGAGCCTCCCAGGATGGTTCCAAGAGGCCTCCAAGAGGCTCCAAGAGGCCGCCATGAAGCTCCAAGAGACCCCCAAGAGGCCCCAAGAGGCCTCCAACAGGCCCCCAAGAGCCCCCCAAGAGGATCCCAAGCGGCCTCAAGAGCCCCCCCCCGAAGCACCCAAGACGCCCAAGACGTCCGAAGAGGCTTCCAAAAGGCTTCCAAGAGGCATCCGAGCGGCATTCAATCATCCACCCAGCGTCATCATTCTCCTCATCCCTCCTTCTCTCGGTTCCTCGCCACCCCTTCATCTATCCATCTGGTCTCCTCTTCCGCCTCATCCTTTGCACGGATCGGCTGTCCCTCTCGTTGCTCCCCCACTTCCCTGATCTCTTCAACTTGGCTGGAAATCGTTTCTGGATGGGCTGGTGGGGACACGCGAAGCGTCAAGAATTTCGGTTTGGGGTGGGGGGGTACGGGTTCCATGTGTTTTTCAATGTTCCCCGACCCCCCCCCCACACTGGGAATGGAGGGCAAATTGGGGCCTTCGGGTTGGGTTGGGATGGTTTGGTGGGGGGTGATTTTCAAAGGCGAGAGGATGATAAGACTCCCCTCCTTGCTCACGAAAGCTGAGCTCGCTTGATCGAACCGTTGCTCCCTCCCCCGTCCATGACGCGCACACAGATAACAAACACTGTTGTGTCTGTGTCAACCGCACAGCCAAAAGCGAAACGAACGAACGAAAAGACCGCCGCGTTGTGCCCCCCAGATGTCTCAGGGGGCACTCACCCAGAACCAACCCGTTGTCACGAATCGCTCAGACTTCTGATATGTCGCGCAGTCCCTGCGCCTTGCAAGTGCACGCAATCACACGAAGATGCACGGACATACTAGCACACACAAACAAACAAACACATACACATACACAGACACACACACACACACACACACACTTTTTGGCGGCGCGGCCTCGCGCGCAGCAAGGCTAGGGACTAGGGCTGCGCGCCGGGGCTAGGGCTCGCACAGCAACACGCACACACACATTCACAAACACATACACGCATTCACAAACACACACACACATACATATGTATGTGTATATATATATATATATTCACACACACGCACACAGACTTTTGCCGTCAGTGGACTGGCGAGTAGCTATCCAAGCGGTCACGCACGCTACCTTGACGAACGCAATCCGAATGCGACAAGCGACGAACCAGGTCAGGCGGATGCACGCTCGCCTGGTCGTGGGTGGACAGTGCACAAGCCCAGAACATCGCATTCGGGTGAGCGTGCCTCCGCACGGAGGGGTGGAGGAAGCAGAACAGCACGTGCACAGTGCAGGAGATGTGGGGGCGCGGCGCGCTTGTGCAATCACACCAGCGCCCACGCACGGGAGCGCGCGGGAAGGGCAAAACCGCAGGCAGAAGACACCACGAGGGGTCGCCAGCCTGCGCGGCCAAAGCTGATCAGGGGAGGCGGCCAAGAAGTGCCGAAGCATGTGCTGCATCGGCGGCCCAGGGCGGCAGCCCAAACGCCTGATGAATATAAGATGTGGCCGCGGAGCGGCAACCTTGGCGGAGATGCGAGCGCCAGAGGTCTTCCAGCAGAACTGGCCCAGAATGGCCAAGTCCACGGCTGCCTATGCGCTGACACACAGGCAGACACACACACACACACACATGTATGATCCCAGGTCGAAGGTTCACAGGCTCCCCCACTCCAGATGGGATTGGCCCCAGGGTTCCGCAGGCCCCCCACCCCCAGATGGGAGGAGGGGGGGACGACGACGACGACGACGACGACGACGACGACGACGACGACGACGACGACGACGACGACGACGACGACGACGGGAACGACGACGACGACGAAGACGACGACGACGACGACGACGACGACGGAAACGAGGACGAGGACGACGACGACGACGACGACGACGACGACGACGGCGACAGCACCGCACCACCACTCCACACCCGCAGAGGGAGGGGCGGGGGCACCGGCACCCTCCACGCCACGCCCACGGGGCCACGACCACAGGCGAGGGGGGGAGCGATCCCCTTCGCGAGGTCTTCGCGTACCCATCCGCGGGGCGGGAGGGCTCGATCCATGGGGGGGGCAGCCCTGGATCAGTGAAGGGGCTCCAGGACACACAAATAAATACACACAAATTAAATAATCACCCATATCTTCCTATATTTTCTCGGTTTCTGTCTTCCCCCCCACTGCCCGTATTTTTCCATATTTTCTGGGGAATCGACGATTAAAATTGTGTCTGTGTGTTTTTGTTCCCTCCTGAATCAGATAATTCCCAGACGGCTCAAGATGTACCCAAGATGGCCCAGGATGCTCTCAAGATGGTCCAAGAGTGTCCCAAGAAGCCTCTAAGACGGCCCCAGAGGCCTCAAAGAGGTCCCCCAGGAAGGCCCAAAGAGGGCCCAATCATTGATTTTCTACATTCGCCAGGCGCCTTTGCGAGGCTCACTGGCGTACCCATCCAGTGGGGGGTGGAGGCCCGATCCCATTAGCATTGGGCGGGGGGCGGAGCCCTGGGTCATCTGCGTCGCGGCTCCGCGCGCAACTGCGCAGAGGAGTCAGTCAAAGAACAAGCGTAGTCGCACTGGCCGTCCCAGCTCACGCAGCAAGAACACACCGGGTCCACCCGTAAGGGACAACGCGGTACGACTCGCGGGAGGGAGCAGCCGCGAAAAAGACGAGACAGGAATGACCAGAAGGCGGGGAAGGCGCGACCAAGGGGGACACACATACGCACACACACAAACATACAAACACACACACACACAATAAAGTTCACCCCGCCCGCCATCTCGCATTCGCTGTCGGTGCGCTATAGTATAGGCCTGGAGCCCGAGCCGTGAGGAGATATTCGATCGACTCGCCAGGGGAATGTCCATCAGTCAGTACCTGAAGATCCAATTGCTCCCCTTCCACTGGGGCCGCTGGCCCAACGAGTTATCTGTGTGACACATCTACGGCTCGGGGGTCCCCGTAAGGAGCTGGACCACTCCCTCTGCGGGGGGACACAGGGTGAAGTAAGTGAGCCTCTTGGCTTCCCTGAACCGAAAGGCCGCTCCGTCCCAACACTAGCCTTGGAATTTGAGTCAGCAACCAAAACAAACAATCAAAAGCACATCAGATCACAGAACAGACCCTCGAAACATTAACCGTACCTTCACTTTCCGAGTCGCCATCGTGATGTGTATAGATGTGCATATCAGTACATATAGATGATCGCCCCCCCCCCCCCCCAGCACCCCCAAACCACCAAAACCACAAAATCTTCACTGATCGTTTCTCCTCGTCGCTCTCCTCCTCAAACCACAAAATCTTCACTGATCGTTTCTCCTCGTCGCTCTCCTCCTCCTCCTCCTCCTCCTCCTCCTCCCCCTCCTTCTCCTCCCCTCCTCCTCCTCCTCCTCCTCCTCCTCCTCCTCCTCCTTCCCTGCGTCTCCCAAGCCAAGGAAACCTAAAATGCATTGTGTATGGCGCCGTCGGTGCAAGGAAATGCTGTGTACTTATTATTATTATTATTATGTTTTGTTTGTTTGTTTGTTGTTTTGTTTTTTGGTATGGTAAGCAAGGAAACGCTGTTTTTTTTGTTTTTTTATGGTTTTGCAAGCCCGAATGACCGCGCTGGCCTCCCTCTCAGCACCCTTCCATGCGCCTCAGACCAAGACAACCAAACATACACAGTGTTTGGCGCCCTCGGTGCAAGGAAACGCTGTGTATTTTTGGTTGTTTTGTTTTTTTTGGTTTGAGAATCAAGAAACCCTTGTTTTTTTTTTTTTTTTTTTTTTTTTGTTTTTTTTTTGTTTTGCAAGCTCTAAGGGCGCTGGGAGGGAGGCTGGTGCGAGCGTCGGGGCTTCCAAAACCAAAACAAAATAATAATAAAAAAACAAAAGTACACAAGGTTTCTTGATTCTCAAACCAAAAAAAAACAAAAATACACAGCGTTTCCTTGCACCGAGGGCGCCAAACACTGTGTATGTTTGGTTTTCTTGGTCTGAGGCGCATGGAAGGGTGCTGAGAGGGAGGCCAGCGCGGGCATTCGGGCTTGCAAAACCAAAAAAAAAAAAACAAAAAAAACAAAAATACACACCTTGCTTCTCAGACAAAAAAAAAGCATTTCCTTGCACCGACGGCGCCATACACAATGCATTTTAGGTTTCCTTGGCTTGGGAGACGCAGGGAAGGAGGAGGAGGAGGAGGAGGAGGAGGAGGAGGAGGAGGAGGAGGAGGGGGAGGAGGAGGAGGAGGAGGAGGAGGAGGAGGAGGAGGAGGAGGAGGAGGAGAGCGACGAGGAGAAACGATCAGTGAAGATTTTGTGGTTTGAGGAGGAGAGCGACGAGGAGAAACGATCAGTGAAGATTTTGTGATTTTGGTGGTTTGGGGGTGCTGGGGGGGGGGCAAGCTAGATAGATGTATGCATATTTATGCCGATGTGAATAGATGTGAATAGGTGAATAGATGTGCACATGTGCAGATGCGCATATATAAATATCGTGTTGTGACTAGATGTGCAGATGCCAATATGTGTACACACATATATCTATATACATATATGTATATATATATGTGTATGTACGCATGCCCATATGATACGTGTGTGTGTCTGTGTGTGTGTCCCATCCCTGGACTGTGCTCGGTTCACTGGGTCGGGCTCTGCTTCGTTGTGTTTTCCACCACCAGCTGCAGCTCCATGCTACTTCCCCCCAGCTTCAGCTCAGTGCAGTTCAGTGCAGCTCTGTTACGGCGCTGCTCCCCCCCTCGTTGCCCCCCCCGCCGCCGGCAGCTCTGAGTGGCCCAGCTTCCTCTCTTCCTGTCGCTCCGGGGCTCCTCCTCCTCCCTCCGTGCATTGCGGCCTTGATTTGCATACCGCTGTCCCCTGTTGCCATTCCGCCGGAGCAGTCGCCCTCTGCCCAGCCGCCGACGCAAAAAGTGTTTGCGTGTGTGTGCGTGTTGCTGTGCGAGCCCTAGTCCTGGCGCGCAGCCCTAGCCCCAGCCTGAGCTCTCAGCCCAATTGCCCTAGCCCCTCAGCCGAAAACTCAGCCCAGGTCAGAACCCTCAGCCCCAGCCTGCGGCCATAGCCGCATGGAAGAACAAGTGAAGAAGAGCACGCAAGGCATTTGCCAACATATCTTGCCACTACCAAGGAGGGCATCCCATACTGTTACCAGACACGAAGAACATGGAAGGGCTCTTCCCAAGCAGAGAAAACTAACAGAACTCGAACAGAGGACCATCCCCGTCTTAGCCCAGCAGCTCTTGCCTCGGCCCGAGCCCCAGCACTCAGCCGTGGCCTCAGCCCCTAGCTCACAGCCGCAGCCATAGAAGCGCCAGGGACGAAGAGCACGCAAAAGGGTGTGCATGCACGTCGCCACTCTCACGGAAAAAGCTACTGGCGAAGGCACCACGCTCACGTCGCACACCAGATAACCCTACCCTCAGCTCTGCAGCTCTGGTCCGAGACTAGGCCCTGGCAACCGCTCCGGCTCCGGCAAAAGCCTGCCCCCAGCCTCAGCCGTGGCCTCAGCCCTAAGCAACACTCAGCCTTTGCCCTGGCCTCGGCCCCGCCCGTCAGCCCTGGCAAAAGCCCTGGTCATGGCCGCAGCCCTCGGCACTATCCCTCAGTCCAGTGGAAGCACTGCGAGTAGGGGATCGACTGCAGAATCGATTTACCCCAGAATTGGTCCCGTCGAATCTACGAAACACACGTAGAAAGCTCCGTAGATCTGCTGACTATTCTACGTAATGTCTCAAGGGTTCGACGAGAGATTAACTTTGGAGTAAATCAAAACCAATTCTGTAGCCGATCCCCTACTCGAGCACTGCGGGGGCCAAGCTCATGCAAGAGCGTTTGCCTACATATCGTCACTATCAGAACGCGCGCGCTGGCTGAAAACAAAATGCTGACACAAGAAGCGAAGAACACGGAGAGGGCGTCTGCCCGAACATAACCCATCCAAGGAACGAAGAGACGAACAAACTGAATAGCAGTCCAGGGTACCATTCGCAAACTCACTGAAGAACATTAGGACACTCTTCAAAATTTGGGTTGCTTTTAAACCCTCGTGCCGACTGTTCATCTCCCCAGGATCGGTGGCTCACAGAATTCCTGACCTGCTCACACTCGCTAGATCGGCCGATTGTTCAAGCCGCGAACGGCCTAGGACGTCCAACGGCCGAGCCAGAAACCAGAATGATTTCGCGAAGCTTTCTCTGGATGTTCTCGGGTTTGCAACCTTATGAGAGGCACTCAATTTGGCCAGGTCGCCTCCTGGAGGCCTCCTAGATGGGGTCCGAGTAGAGGGGGTCGGAGGATCTCGCCGCATCGCCGATACATCGGCGATGCATCGCCGATGCATCGGCGATGCATCGCCGATGCATCGGCGACGTCGGCGTGGAGAAAACTGGGCCCCACATCGAGCCGCATCGCCGTTGCATCGCCGATGCAGCGGCGATGCGGCGCGCTCCGACCCCGTCTATCCCGACCCCATCTAGGAGGCCTTGACTGCCGAGGCCCACCGTGGACCACCACGGTGCGCAGGCTGCAGCGCTGGCGCACGGCCGTCTCCCACGCCGCCGCGGCCTCCTGGCGAGGGGGGCACAAGCCGGCTGCCGGCGTAAGTCGGGTCGGGCACATCCCTCTACAGGAAGAACAATCGAGAATAGTAAAACAATACTCTCGGGACAATGTTACTGCTACTACTGCAATATCGTTGAGCATTTGTTGCTGGAGGACATGCCCAACCTAACCTTCGGCCCGTCAATGGACTTTCCACTGATGGGCTGCCTGGTATAACCCACTACACACACGAGTACCGCTGAACCGTGTTTGCCGATCCACAGCTATACAGCGGAGGCCAGTCCACAAGAAACCTGCCACAAGAAACCCGACTCCAAGACCCCAGGACGTCCTTGGACTCTTGGTGCGGGAGCGTCACGTTTTCCATGGCATAACCATCGAATCCCAGGAAAGTTTCTTGGCATGGGTCTCCAAGAGATTTCTGAGCGCGCGCTTTTTGGATGGCGTCGACGACGACGACGACGACGACGACGACGACGACGACGGGAACGCCGACGCCGACGCCGACGCCGACGCCGCCGACGAGGACGACGACGGCGCGAACAGGGTGTTTCTTGACAAGTCAAGCGAACAGCGAAAAACATCGGGCGCGGCGAACCAGCGCCCCTCTCCGCGGGGTTGCGATGCAACCCGTCCGACAGCGGGACAGAGGCGACTCTCTTACGTCTGGATCGGGTCCTGACCCTGGTGCACAATAACTAACTATGCGTCCGAGCTAGACTCGGCAGACCAATATATAATGTTGTTGTGTGGCGCACTAGCATGGACGAAGTACATAGGTCTCGCGGCGCATCTTGATTGGGATCGCGCGTCTCGTTGGGGCAGTGGTATTCAATGACGTGTGTGCGTGTGTGTTTCTCCGCCACGTCGCTGCGTGCGAGGCCGCGCCGCCAAAAGTGTGTGTGTGTGTTGTGGGTGTACTTGTGTTTATGTGTAGGTGTCAGCGTCAGTGTCAGTGTCAGCGTGAGTGTGAGTGTGAGTGTGAGTATGAGTGTGTGTATGTGTGTGTGTGCGTGTGCGTTTGTGTATGTGGGTGTGGGTGTGCTCGAGTGCGTGCGTGAGTGTGTGCGTGTGCGTGTGCGTGTGTGCGTGTGTGCGTGTGTGCGTGTGTGCGTGTGTGCGTGTGCGTGTGTGCGTGTGTGCGTGTGTGCGTGTGTGCGTGTGTGCGTGTGTGCGTGTGTGCGTGTGTGAGTGCGTGCGTGCGTGCGTACGTGTGTACGTGTGTGTGTGTGTGTGCGCGCGCGCATGTGTGTGTGTGTGTGTGCGTGCATGCGTGCGTGCGTCCGTGCGTGCGCGTGTGTGTGTGTGTGTGTGTGGTGTGTGTACGTTGTGTGTGTGTGCTGTGTGTTGTGTGTGTGCTGTGTGTTGTGTGTGTGTGTGTGTGTGTGTGTGTGTGTGTGTGCGTGCGTGCGTGCGTGCGTGCGTGCGTGCGTGCGTGTGTGTGTGTGTGTATATGTGTGTGTGTGCGTGGGTGCGTGAGTGCGTGCGTGCGTGCGTGTGCGTGTGTTTGCGTAGATGTGTGCGCGTGCGAGTGTGCGTGTGTGCGTTTTCGCAGCGTGCCTCCATGCATTGAGCTGAAACTTATACTGCCAACCACGGAAAGACGATAAGCGCGATGTACCAATCCACTCCTGATCGCGGTTTCGTGCACCCAGAGGGCCCTCCGATATCAAATGGCATCGGAACGCCTGGGGCAGACTGAGACTTCGGGGCCGTGATTAGAGGCCTCCTGGATGGCGTCCGAGTAGATTGGGTCGGTGAATCGCGCCGCGACGCCAATGCATTGCCGATGCATCGGCGCCATCGGCGTGGAGGAATTCTGGCTCCAAATCGAGCCTCATCGTCGATGCATCGGCGATGCGGAGCGATCCTCCGACCTCATCTGCCCCGACCACGTCTGGGAGGCATAGAGTGAGTCTCTGGTCCGCTGCATCGGTGGCCCATGGCACGCTGCAGTCCCTTTCAAACATGCAGGTTGGCCCAGCTTCCTGGGTAGCTCAGGACACTCCTTCGGCCCCCAGCAGCAAACTTTTGTGGCGACACATGTTACCTGCAAGCCCGGGGCTGGTATCTCCCAGGTCGCACATCCCCGTCGCCTTACTCAGAAAAGGGAAGGCTCCAGGAAAGATGGGGGCTCGTTTCTTTGCGAAGAGAGTGACGGCCAGGTACCTACGGGATAGCCTCTGGCCTTTTGTACTTCCAACTATAGACAAGCGCGTTCCACTACTCGCAGGGCAACTACGTACTCGCAAATGGCCTGCATCCGCCGCGGGGGATTGATGATCCGTTACATCGAGGCAGACATGTGTCTTTCTGACGTTTGCTAGTAGGCACTTTGCGAGTAGAGGAACGCGCTCGGTGAAACTAGACATCGCTCCACACCAACTCCCGACTCTTCCCCGGCACAGCCAGTGCCCGTGTTTACATCCGCGCCCAGCCATCGCGACGAGGGCCCCTCCCGAGAACAAGACGAATCATGCGAGCGCTGAGATTATCGCCATCCACAGCAGCAGCAAAGCGTGCATAGAGGAGCTAACAATGCCATAAGCGAATTTCTTAGATCTGCGCGGAGCGCGCCAGAGATGGCGCCAGAGGCGCCGCCAGGGGGCCCCAGCGCCGATCCGAGAAATCTGAGCGGACTTCCGAAAATGTATGTTTACGGCATCTTGTCTTTCTTCGGCACCGCAGGAGCGGTGAGCGCTCGTGTCGTGCCGACACTTCGGCGTTCACTTTTCCGACACAGCGGGGATCTTTCGGCCTTGAACGGTCGGCTGTTTTCGAGACGTCAGATCGCTCAACATCGACCGATCCTGGGTCGCCGGCGGCGTTCTACGTTGAACGCTGGCGGCGGGGTCGCCGCCGCGGAAACGCGGCGCGGAGCTAATGTGCAGCAGGAGCGGTGAGCGTTCCTCGCTGTCCGCCGCCGGGCGCGCTGGGGGCGCGGTGGAGCTGGCAGCGGTGCTGGTGCTCGCGTTGCTGGCCCCGGCCTGGCCAGGCGCGGCCGCCGTGGGCCAGGGCAGAGGAGCGGACGAGGAGCAGGGCACTGGCGCTTGACACTGGAAACCGAACGTTCCTACAGATCCACGAGAGCAGTGGCGGCCGCGGAGGAGCGGACGAAGAGCAAGGCACCGGCGTTGACGGTCGGGAACTTTTGCTTAGCGTGTCGCCGCGGCGGCCCTGGCGACACGCTATTTCCTGCAAGCGGATAGCGCGTCGCTCCGCTCCGCGGGGCGGATGGCTGGGAAAGACTCGGGACGTTACCGCTTGGGCATTGGGAAAATGTAAGCGTGCCGCGCCGAAGCGTGGTGGGCCAGAACCAGCGGCGCGAGACGCTAAGCTCAAATTTCTGTAAGCCGAGATTCCTGACCGTAATGCGCAATGCCCTCGTCGTTGATTCGACCGGCGCCGGCGCGTCCCCTTCTGTTCAAGCAAGCGCGCTGAAGATGAGGGGAGGAAATGAGGGGGAGGGAGGTGGAGGGGGCAGGGGCTGCGGGGGGCAGGGTGAAGGGACGGGGGGAGCAGGGAGAGGTCAGGGGTAGTGGAGTGGAGTGGAGTGGATGGAAGGCACGGGGGGTACAAAAAACAGGATCCTCCTCCTCCTCCTCCTCCTCCTCCTCCTCCTGCTCCTGCTCCTGCTCCTGCTCCTGCTCCTGCTCCTGCTCCTGATCCTCCTCCTCGTCCTCGTCCTCGTCCTCGTCCTCCTCCTCCTCCTCCTCCTCCTCCTCCTCCATTCCTTCTAGATAACTCCTCCCTGTCGCACCCCGAGGCCGGTCGAAAGGGCGGGCCTGTCGTTTCGCCTGGGACTTCCTCACCACTCATGGCCCTGAAGCTTAATTATCCTGGCGAAAGACCCAACCATGCGCAATTGTGAATACCGTGCTGTGGCGCCGCTTTCGGTGGTGGGACCACGGACCGTGTGAAGGGTGCGCCGAAATTGGGCGGCACCGTGGTGTGGACCCTGCCACTGGGTCATTCGAAAGAGCTCTCTGTGGGCCACGAAACATGTAAGGAGTGTGCCAAGATGGGGCGCCGCTGCCATGTGGACCCTGCCTCTGGGGCCTTCGGTGGAGCTCCGTATGGAGCCACGAACCGATTGAGGGCTGCGGAAATTTGGGGCGGCGCCGCCATGTGGACCCTGCCACTGGTGCCTTCGGTGGAGCTCCCTCCTGGGTCACGAACCGTGTGAGGTGTGTGCCGAAATGGCGGTGGAACCGCATGCGAACTTTGCCACTGGACCCTTCGGTGGAGGTCCCTACGGGGCCACGAACCGTATGAGGGGTGTGCCAAAATGGAGGTGGAACGGCATGCGAACTTTGCCACTGGACCCTTCGGTGGAGCTCCCTATGAGGCCACGAACCGTGTGAGGGGTGTGCCAAAATAGAGGTGAAACGGCATGCGAACTTTGCCACTGGACCCTTCGGTGGAGCTCCCTACGGGGCCACCAACCGTGTGAGGGGTGTGCCGCAATGGCGGTGGAACCGCATACGAACTTTGCCACTGGGGCCTTCGGTGGAGGTCCCTACGGGGCCACGAACCGTGCGAGGGGGTGTGCCGCAGTGGCGGTGGAACCGCATGCGAACTTTGCTACTGGAGCCTTCGGTGGAGGTCCCTACGTGAGGGGTATGCCGAAATGAGGGTGGAACCGCATGCGAACTTTGCATAACTTTGCCACTGGGGCCTCCTTTGGAGCTCCCTATGGGGGCGCGAATCGGGTGAGGGCAAAAGGTCCAAGAGGCTCCCAGGAAGCTCCCAGGAGGCCCCAAGAGTGTCCCCAGAGGCTCCTCTTCCTCCTCCTCCTCCTCTTCCTCCTCCTCCTCCTTCTCCACCGCATCCTCTTGATCTTCCCCGCCATCCTCCCCCAAGTGGCCCAAGTGTTCCCCGAAGGGTTTCCACAACGGTTGGGGGGATACATGGCCCGATACCTTGGCAGAGCTTTTGCCACAACGCTCGGCCACATGGGCGATTCTAGAAGGCGGGGGGCGGCGGTGATTCACCGTAGGCGTCTTCGATAGTTTGTCATACTGAAACGGGTAGCCGGCCTTCGGTTAAATAGTGGAAAGACGGGCCACTGCACTCGACTTCATTGGTGGGTGGAGGGGGGACTGGACTTGATAAGCGCGGTGCGGCTCCTGCAAGGGTCACTCCACTTCAAGGGCCGAACACCGCCGATTCGCTCCGAAGCCGGAGTCGACTTTGCTCCCAGAGATTCCAAGCGGGCCACATCATTGCCCCAGGGTGCGGAACCGTGCGCAGGGCACCCGAGTCTCGAGGCGGCCCGCTAGGAGGTTGGCCCCACCCTGAGACTCCCGAAAGCACCTGGAGGCTCCGTCCTCCAATAGCTTCCCACCAGCTCCAAAACCGCGAGGAGGGCGAGAGGAGGGAAGAGGGGGAGGCCAGGGGGGCACGGAGCCGGGGGCGTCCAAGAAGGGGGTTCGCAAATCACGGCCCGAGGCACGTGCGCGGCGGAGGGGGGCCAAGGGACGCATTGAAACAAGAGGAGGCGCCGTGAAGTCCGTGGAGATAATATCGTCCCCGCCCTGACATCCACCACCCCTCTGGCCATCGCTCGGACGTCCATTCCCTGTGCTTTTTTCGGTTTCGTGCGTGGTTTTTTCCCCAAATGATCAAGGATGCTCCTCGATGGTCCTCGCCGAAGGAAACATGCACACGTCCGAGCGATGCCAAGCCCTTGTCATCACCCCCCTCTGGGCCACCTCCGAACAGGGGGGGGGCGGGAAAGCAGAAGGGGGAGTGGAGGCCAAGGAGTTTTGGCCAGGGAGGCACAGGAGGGAATGCGCGCGCCGTGCCTAGCAAACCCTCGTGCGTGTGGGTGTGGGATCCCACATGGGGCTCCCCACCATGCTGACAGCTAGTCCCGCATGCGAGTATCACGCAGATCCGATATCATCGTCATCGAAATCCCAGGATCAGTTCGACAGCGTCGTGTGTCGTTTCTTTCCTGTCACCGGCGTGGCGCGGCGCGGTTGGCCGCAGCATAGCCACAGCATGGACCGCCCAGCTCCCGCTGACGCAGGGTCGCCTGGACGGACGCCCCGCCTGCTGGGACCTCCCTAAATGAGGGGCGTTCCTCCTTCTGCCCCCCCCCCTCTTTCCTCCCTGCGCCTTTTCCCTCCCTCCCGCCGCGCGCCGCCATGGCGCTGACGCTGCAGCCGCGGCTGGCAGCTACCCCCCGGGTGATGGTGCCCCTGGGCCATGTTTTTACTGCCCTGCACCTCCCTCTCCGGGCTCAGTAGTTTGCTGGTGGCAGCCTGAAACCTAGATTGCTCGTTTCCCTGCCGTACCTCGTCGACCCACCTGGGCAGCCTCGCTGTGCTGTCCCCACTTACAATACTAGTCGGCCTCACTGACGGCTTCACTGCAGGTGCCCTTGGACTCCGCGTACTGGGCCTCGTCATCGCCCGTGGATGCACCGGTGCCGCGGCTGGGCTGCTGCCAAAGTCCCCGCTGCCGAGGCTGGCCGAGCCAGCGAAATCAGGACGGAAGTCTTGCGCCTCTGAGTGCCCCCCTCCTCGTTCCTCCTCCGCGGCCGCCCCGTCTCAATCTCCTCTCCTGCACGCTGGGTAATTCGCTCTTCGGTAGCCGCGTTGAGCCCGACCGCTGGTGCAGCAGTTTTGCCTCGCCGCCGACGAACAAAGTTTCGTTTCCTTCCACGGATACCACAATTGTGGATGCCATGAGCTGAGAGGTAATGAGATCCTCGCAATCTTGGGTCTGCAGACCAACGACGTGCTTCTACGGGGGAGCGGTTCCCCCTACCTTGAGGGAAACCACATGCGAACGATGGCCGCCGTCCCCATCGCCGTGGTCGTCGTGGAAGCCGTCGCCACCGTCGCGCTCGCCGTCGTCGCGGTCGTCGTCGTCGTCGTCGTCGTCGACGACGACGACGACGTCGTCATCGGCGTCGTCGTGCCATCGTCGCCGCTGTCGCACTCGCTATCGTCGCCATCGCCGCCGCTGTCGTCAGCGTCGTCGTTTTCGTCGTCGTCATAAGCGTCGTCGTCGTCGCCGCGTCGCCGTCGCGCACGCCGTCATCGCCAGTACCGTCATCGTCGCGTCATTGTAATTTGTCGAAAATTGCTCTACGAAGCTAAAAACCTCCCTCACTTCTGGCCGCCCTCGCTTCCAAACGGGAATCACGCAATATCAAATTACTCGCACGGGACGCAACCGCGATCGCGTGCACCAGCTATCGATCGGCGTGCCTACCGAGCTTCGTGGCAGAGACGGAAACACAAGCAGCAGCAGCAGCAGCAGCCGCAGCAGCTGCAGGGATAGGAAGAGAAGCAGCAGCCAGCAGCGGCGGCAGCGGAGACGTCGGCAGCCACAAGAAGAGCAGCAGGACACTGGGGACTGAGACTCGTTCGGCGTCGCGAGGAGGGGGATCGGAGCGAAGGACATGTCTCTGTGCCGGTCGCGCCTGCTTTGTCTTCAGGGGGGCCGCTGCGGGAGACTTCGGCGGCTCCTCGCAGAGATCAGCAGCGCATGCCAGACTGCAGATGAAGAGCTGGACATGATGTGGCAGGCGCGAGGGGCGACGACTGGCGATGGGCCGCCGACAGTGCCGCAACGAGGCGGAAGAAAACGCATGGAACACGCAAAAAAGGGCCCCATGAACAAAGTTCGGTGGCAACTCATGGGAGCCTCCGACACCATCTTGTCGGCTCTTGTGAATCGACGCTGGTCGACGCTAGTCGACCAAATCGACGCAACATCGACGCTACATCGACGCTTGCCGACGCTAAATCGTCGCATCTCATCCACTCCTAGACGCTAATCAACGCTAATCGACAGACTTGAGAGGATATACCTAGGCAAGCACGTTCCACTACTCGCAAAGTCACCACTCGCAAATGGCCTGGAAATGGCCTGGACCAGCCGCGTGGAATTTACGATAAATTACATCGAGGCGAACGTGTACTTTTCGGACGTTTGCGAGTAGACACTTTGCGAGTAGTGTTAGGTCGGGCCTGTCTCCCTACAGGGGGATTTTCGACGGAAAATGAAAAATACTCCGAACTTACTCCCGAATGGCCAAAAAATTATCAAAAAATGCTCCCCGACTATTTGTTTGACTATCTTTGAATATTCCTCCCGTAGAGGGACGGGCCCGACTTCAGAGTAGGGGAACGCGCTCGGTGAATAGGGCTCCCATGCTTTGCGACAGGAGCGGCAAAGAGGGGGGCGTCCAAAAGGGGGGGGGTGCAAATCATGGCCGGCGGCATGTGCGCGGCCCAGGGGGGGCCAGGGACGTAATGAAATAAGAAGAGGCGCCATGAAGTCTGGGGAAATATCATGGCCCCCGCCATGATATCCACCCCCCCTAGTCATCACCCCCCTCTTTGCCGCCCCCGATTAAGAGGAGGGGAGCGCGCTCGGTGAATACCGGGCTCCCATGCCCTGCGACCGGAGCAGCGAGGAGGGCACGAGCGGCAGGAGAGGGAGCGCTCGAGCAGGGGGGCAACGCGCACGATGCACGCAGGGCCGAGAGCAGGGGCGAGCATCGGCAGGAGGGCCGCGAGGAGCACGCGGGGGGGGAAACGGGAGGGCGGAAGGAGAACGCGAGGAGAACGCGGACAGGAGGGATAGGAGAACGCGGAAGGAGAACTCGAGGAGAACGCGGGGGGGACGGGCCAGGAGTGCCGCGAGGAGAACGCGAGGAGAACGCGGGGGGAGAACGGAGAACGCGGGGGGGAACGGGAACGCGGAGGGATGCAGGAAGGAGGCGCGGAGGGGGGACAAAGTCATCACCAGATGTCGAAAAACTGTAACCCCCCCCCACGATCTGCATGACGACCCGAAGTGGACCCCCCCTTGGGAGGCAAGTGAGGGTCCCAAATCGAGACCCCCCCCGCAGTCTCGTTTGACGAGGCCCGTTAGACCCCCCCCAAAAGTAGACCCCCACCCAGTATTATGAGATCCGGAGTAGGTAAAAACATGAAGTAGGGAGGCGGGCGAAGCAGGTTGGGTCCAGGCCCTCCCAAAGAACAATAAAACATAGCAAACGCACATCGATTCTTGAAGTAGGAAGGCGCCATAAGTAGATTGGGATCTGTTAGTCCAAAAACACCTACTTTCAACGACTGGCGAGTAAGGAAATCGGGCTCCCAACTGGTCCCTCGCCCGGAGGTTGCCGGAGGTGGTTCTGGCCCCAAGCGTGCCCAGCTTCTCGGTCGATGTTGGACCCCTTGCTGGGGGGCGGGAAGTGAGAAGGGGCGGTCCTCCTCAGAAGGCTCGGAAGGCTTCCGGCCTTCTGGAACATCTTCTAAGCCTTCCCCGAAGGAGACCTTGTCTGAAGGCGCGAGGCCTTCTGAGAATCACCGCCGCCTTCTAAGAAGGTCTGTTCCTCTTGGGCGCCCCAAACGGGGTGGTGACCACACCGTGCGGTGAGTCGGTGGTGATTCGGGGTCACCGCACGGTTTTGGGACTCGGGTCGTTCTCCGAGGACGTCTTGGGCGACAGGGGCCTCTGGGGTCCCAAGACCGTGCGGTGACGGACCGTGCGATGAAGTCTTGGGGGATTTCGAGGTCACCGCACGGTCCGTCACCGCACCGTTTCGGGACTCCACCCCCCGGGCGCGCCTCCGAGCCAGGATTGCGCCGATCCGCCGATGTAGCGCCGATGTAGCGCCGATGTAGCGCCGATGCATCGGCAACGTCTGCGGTGCATTGGCGTCGCCATTGCGGAGACAATCCGGCTCCGCATCGAGCATCATCGCCGATGCACCTCCTCCTCCCCCTCCTCACCCCTCCTCCTCCTCCTCCTCCTCCTCCTCCTCCTCCTCCTCCTCCTCCTCCTCCTCCTCCTCATTCTCCGCCTCCTCTCCCTCCTCCCTCCTCCCTCCTCCCCTCCCTCCTCCTCCCCTCTTCTTTCCTCCTCCTCCTCTTCCTCCTCCTCCTCCTCTCCTCCTCCTCTCCTTCCTCCTCCTCTCCTCCTCCCCTCCTCCTCCCCCTTCGCCTCCTCCTCCTCCTGCTCCTGCTCCTCCTCCTCCTCCTCCTCCTCCTCCTCCTCCTCCTCCTCCTCCTCGGTCCGACCGTGCTCGGAGGCGGCCTGGACTCTGGCAGCGCCCGACGGAAATGATGGACGGCCCCGCCGGCCGCCGCTGGCCCCACGCACGCACGCCGCCTGACCCCTGCCACGCCCTGCCTTGCCATCGCTCGGACGTCCATTCCCTCGGCATCGCTCGGACGTCCATTCCCTCGGCATCGCTCGGACGTCCATTCCCCGTGCATTTTTCGGACTCGTGCGTTCATATTTCGAAAAGTGAACAAACATGCTCCTCGATGCTCCTCGCCGAGGACAGAAGCACACGTCCGAGCGATCCCGAGTTCCCCGTGCACTGTCTGGCTTCGTGCGCTTCATCATCATCCGCGATCTGTGTTCCAAGATGCTTCTCGATGGTCCTCGCCAAGGAAAGAAGCACACGTCCGAGCGATCCCGAGTTCCCCGTGCACTGCCTGGCTTCGTGCGTGTCATCATCATCCGCGATCTGCTCCAAGATGCTCCTCGATGGCCCTCGCCGAGGAAAGAAGCACACGTCCGAGCGATCCCGAGTTCCCCGTGCACTGCCTGGCTTCGTGCGTTTCATCATCATCCACGATGTGTGCTCCAAGATGCTCCTCGATGGCCCTCGCCGAGGGGACGACGCACGTGGCACGCGCCCGAGCGACGCAGGTGGGCCATCGCTGCTGGAGGGCACCCCCTCGCGGCGCGGGCCGCGCTCTCGGGCGACGGCCGCGCGCGGGGCGCGGACCCCGCCCGGCGCAGGTGCGCCAGGCCGGGCGCGGAGGCGTCGGGACGGAGGAGGGAGGAGGGAGGAGGGAGGAGGGAGGAGGCGAGGAGAGGAGGAGGAGGAGAGGAGGCGGAGGAGGAGGAGGAGGAGGAGGGGGGAGGCGAGGGGGGGGGGAGGGCTCCCCTCTGGGGGCAGGCCGCAGCGCTCCGAGGCCGAAGGGGCGCCGAGGCCACAAAGCGGGCCGAGGCCGCGGCGGACCGCAAGCCGAAGCGGGCCCGAAGCCGAAGCGAGCCCCCGTCCGCCGGTGCGCCTGGCCAGGAAGCAGGAGGAGGAGGAGGAGGAGGAGGAGGAGGGAGGAGGAGGGAGGAGGAGGAGGAGGAGGAGGAGGGAGGAGGAGGAGCGTTTGTTCCAGAAGGGGAACAACTGGCCATCGCTCGGACGTCCACTCCCCGTGTTTTTTTCGGTTTCGTGCGTGGCTTTTTCGCCAATGGATCAAGGGTGCTCCTCGATGGCCCTCGCCGAGAAAAAATGCACACGTCCGAGCGATGCCAGGAGGACATGCTGCGGGCAGCGCGGCGCACGCTGCGGGCGCAGAGTGGCGCAGGGGGCCCCTGCCGCCTGCGCCGCGCCCTCAGGGCTACGCCCGCCCGCGAACGAAGCGACGGCCGAAGGCGGGGGCGGCGCGCCCATGGACGGCCAGGGGAGCCCGCACATGTAAGGCAACGTCCTCCTGCGAAGGAGAACGTGACCGAGGGCAGTGGCGGCGCGCCCAAGGACGGCCAAGGGAGCCCTGCTTGACCAACGTGCTCCAAATGCTTCCCGTGTATCGCGCACCGCACAGGTGACCCGCCACAGGGCGGGTCACCCGAAAACGAGCTGTGAGACACATTGATTTGACTTGCATTCTGGGCCACAACAAGAGTTAGTGCAATCGTGTTCCATGCGCTTCCCCTGTGTAGCGCGCAACGCACAGGTGACCGACCCACTGGCGGGTGAATCACCCGAAAACTCGTTGAGAAAACCCATTGGCGCCACTTGCATTATGGACTTCAACATGAGTTGGTGCGGTCGTACTCCAAATGCTTGCCCTGTGCAACGCGCTCAGCACAGGTGGCCCACCAGCGGGCGGGTCAACCGAAAACTAGTGGAGAAAAACGAGTTGCTTCACTTGCATCAACATGACGTGGCGCAATCGTGCTCCACACGTTTCCACTGTGTAGCGCGCAACGCACAGATGATCCACCAGCGGGTGGTTCTTCCGAAAACTGTTCGAGAAAAACCTATCGTTTCACTTGCATTATGGGCCTCAGCATGACTTGGTGCAATCGCACTCCACACGCTTCCCCGTTGTAGCGCGCAACGCACAAATGATCCACCAACGGGTGAATAGTCCGAAAACGGGTTCAGAAAAAAACATACTGCTGCACTTGCATTATGGGCCTCAACATGCGTTGGTGCAATCGTGCTCTACGCGATTTCCCGGTGGAGCGCGCAACGCACAAGTGACCCACCAGCGGGTGGGTCACCCGAAAACGGGTTGAGAAAAATATTGTTGCACTCGCATTGTGGGCCCCAACATGAATTGGTGCAACCGTGCTCCATACACTTCCCCTGTGTAGCGCACAACGCACAATTGAGCCAACAGCGGGTGGATCACCTGACAACGTGCTGAAAAACACATCTGTGTCACTGGCATGCTGGGCCTCGACATGAATGTGTGCGCTCGCACTCCA